AATACTCATCAAATGAACATCGTCTCAATGGAAAAACGATTTAATGTTTCACGAGGTTCTCTCGTTTATACGTACAAATCCGTTGTCATCTGTATGTGAAGTATATAAACTTGAAAAGCTTATGTCACACTTTTTTGAACACGTATTTTCTTTCAATTTTTGCATAAACGTCATTTGATGATCACTTAGTAATGTTTTAATACATTACACAAACCATTCATTAGCCTTAATTTGAGATCAAAATGACTATGATATTCACGGTGCTAATTGTTTTTTTTCTTCTTCTTGTATATTTTTATTATTATATCATGAAAGTAACAATTCACTGGAGAAATGGGAAAATATAAAACGGGAAAGAATAAGACAAAGCAGAAATAATAACATATACTTCCAACAAAGAGAAAAGAGAAACAAATAAGTAAACAAATCATGGAAATAATCAAAGCTAATCCTATTTGTTCATTTATCGTTAACATAAAAGAAAAATCATTTCGGAATAAAGTAGCATAATATATCAATAGGATTATACCAGTGGAAAAACGAGTAAACATAACTGTCATAAATAATAAAACAGTCAGTGATCTTACGTAAGAGTGGTATGATGAATATTATCAAACTCGACATTTTTTAATGAAATCTATACTTTGAGATTTGTAACACATTTTTGACGGTAAAGTGGGGAGATGATGTTGTGTATCAAAACTGTTTTTGTCGTTGAGACTTTAACCCGTAAAATCAGATCATCAGAGAAATTCTCGAGTTGTATAAAAGCTAAGAGAAAATGATAATTAGACGCTATATAGAATCGATCGCATATTTAACAGAAGCGTGATTCCTATTTCACTTGTCACAAAACGCAATTTTCAGATATAATTCAATCACATATAGCACCGAATGAGGATGACGATGGCATGCAAAAAATGAAAATTTATCTCTTCGAATGGATGCTTAGATGATCTCACCACTCATTAGTAACTGACTGTTGACATTCATATTTTGAATTTATCGAAATATTAAGAAAACTATATTCATGATTGAATAGCGAAAATCGCATCAGAATCATGTGTAAGCCTTCATGTTCAATTACAAGAGTGAACTAAACATACATATGTATACTCATACCTAATATTTCTTGTCCTTGAATAGATTGTTAGTTATTTTCTCGACCTTGCTGAGGTATTTTCTCATAATGCTAAGAAAGTTCTTTTTTCCGATTTTATGTTCCGGTATTGCGGCTAATTGTCATAGCTCCCAGTTGTCACTGTAACTAATGGATGTTACCTAATCGTCGTAGATTCAAAAGAATAATTATTTGTATCGATTAGAAAAGAATTCTAGGAAGGTCTAAACGAAGTTTCTTTGTATATCTGTTATATTCATATTGGATCTGAAACTTAAAATTAAAATCTTTATTTCTCTATCAGTATCAGTATATAGAAATTTAGTTTGTGTTTCTTTTTTATGTATTATTTTCAATTTTATCGTTGGTAAAAAAAGTGAATCTTCTGAGAAATGCAGACATTATAATCAGAGAAAAATGCAAAACTATTAATCATTATGATTGTTTCATAATGTAATAAACTGTTCATCATTTTCACAATACATCAGCATCCGTATTAACTAACAGTCAATCAATCGTTTTTTTTCTGCTTCAAAAGGAGTAATAAGTTATTAAAAGAACAGCTGACAAAATATTCTTTACTATATCAAATTTCTAACTTTTATTTCCCATGGTTCATTACAGAAAGTTATTTCAAGTAATTAGATACATCAAAACCATTCTTTTATGAATACTCTATTCTGATTATTTTACAATAACTATATCAATATCACGTACGACTTTGCTATTATAGAAATGAATTGTACGCATCAATTATACTGTTATATGTCCAAACATAACCTAACACAGCTAAAAATAAATCTGACATTTTTCAAACTTTTTAAGGAAAGGGCAAACAAGGTCATGTTTTTTGTCAGCGATATTTTAAAAAAAAAGAACTAGATATGCAAAATCAGTGTTGAAATTTGGGTACAATCAGTTTATTTTACCTATCAAAAAATGGCTTTCCTTTTTCACCTAAGTGAGATTCTAGACTCATCGGAAACATGTGGAGGATTCTATTGATTCACATATCATCAAATGCAGAATTTGGTGCTGATTACGAATGTTTATGTCGAAATCGAGTAAAATCATAAAAATGAAATGTTTAACCAATGAATCAAATATATTGATTGGTGAAATGAAAGCAAGGAAAAAAGTTGTTCATCACCTTAGAGATCTTCTAGGTACGCCCAATTTAGAATCTTACCGGTTGTGAACTTCTCAGTAATACCATCGTATTACGCACGTCTTAAAAACCTATGACTTCTAAGTTCTTATACATTTTAGTTCAATTCGTCAGGAGATAGACATGCTTTCAAATGTATTTACGAGCAACTTAGCTCTTGTTTTGGTTGATGCTTGAAACATTCATACGCTTTAATGGATTCAAGTGCTTCGTCTTCGTATTCAGATTGAACGTAAAAAATTGTAGTAACCTATGTATGTTATTCATTGGTTAGACGTTTCACAGAAATCACATTTTTTTGCGACTTATTTTGTTTTAAAAACTGTCTCGATTGTTAATAAGTTGTATTGCAAACGTAATTTTGCACGCAACTACATGTATTTTAGACTTTCTCATGGAACTGATAGGCTACTTGATGACTATAGTTCTCAATTAGCATTTTACAATGAAATTGGATATTTCTTAATCAAAACTTTGTCTTGGCAGATTTCCATATAAAATTCGTAATCGTCATCAAATTCCGCATCTGATGATATGTTAATCAATAGAATTCTTAAAAAAACACACATTTATTTTTCGATAGATAGAACTACCTGATTTTACGATGGATTCCGAACAGGCAGATCCTTTTTCTGAAAATATCGTGGTTAAAAAAAAAGAACAATCGCATCAATAGTTTGTCTTTTCATTGTGATTTTTTTCTTACCGTTCTTCAATATTTTGTGGTATTGTTTTATTTCTATCAATATAATATGTTGATGATATATAACATATTTGATTAGTATAATCAACATATGGTTTAATAAAATTTGCTCGACTCCAACATTCAATACGATCATCATCAAACTGTTTCGTTGCTGTTATTGTCGAAAAAAGAACAAGTAAAGCAACTGTATACTTATAGTTCATTTTATCGAATCCATCATCATCAGATCGCAATGTTGATAGAAGTACTGTTGGTACAAGTGTTATTAAATATAGTAGATCGACCATAATATTAATATTTTTTTTTTATTACAATTGATTTCTTATTCAAAAAACAAACGAAAAATCATCTAGAATCGAATAAAATACATGTTAACATATACTATTGAGTATCAATTTAGACTTCAATCAGATGGATGACAAAGAACTTGTTCTTTGTTTCTTTTTCTATTAAGTGACAGTTGTATATAACATTTATCAATAGTTGAATAAATATTATTTTACTCTTTAGATCGAAAATATCAAACAAAATGTTACTCACCAGTTTCTTCTTCTTTTTTCTTACTCTTATTATTAATTGAATATATATTATATTTGATCAAAGTGTGCGACTCACACATATATTGGGTGACGCCTTATTATTTCTTGCGGTTTACTATCGTTCTGAATGCTTCTTTTTGTCCGTATGAGAAAAAAAAGATGTTGCTAGAGAGAAGAAAATGTTCTACAGAATAACAAAAAAAACGAGTAAGAGAAGTGTTCCGTCTCTATTACCTTATACCATAACTATGCATGCTTTTGAAGTATTTGTATGTCTTGTTCGTGTTGTACGAACAACACATTTACAAAAAAAAATGAGAGAAAAAAGTCAAAAAAAAAAAAGAGAGAATTACATATGAGCAGAGAATTGAGACATTCTTGTGACTACGTATAGTAATAGTCTTTAATAAAAACTTCTTAATACTCAATTAAACGTGATTATTTTTAGTAAAATTCTTTGGATTTCGATCATCCTAATCATATTAAAATTTAAGATTGATTGGTTCTTTCCATTTTCATTTTTTGTAATTCTAAAGTTTTCAGCTTCGATGAATCTTTTTCTCCCTGAATTATATATATGATTCTTTGTGTATCAAGAAAAGAATCACATTGTCGTAGATAGATGGACGAGTTTTGATATAACTACTAGCTTTAGTTATTATAAAGAAGTCTTAAAATAATAAAGAAAAGAAAAAGAACCGTTGGATTATTAGTAATTCTTTATCTTGTCAATTTGTTCCGGCTTTCAGAACAATAAATGATAATGCATTCTTAAATAGGTCATTGCCAACAAGTTATGTTCTTCCAGAATATTAGTTCTTAGTTCAATAAATAGAAGCGTAAATGCTTGTCTGTTCTCTTCGCCACACTTCCTTCGATTTCATCTTTATGTAATAATTTATAAGATTACATAAATGTTCTTATGTTAATACAACAAAACAATAATCATCTGTCTGACATGACAGTTTCTTCAATTGATTCTTGCTGTTTTCTAGATTTAGTTTTCCTTTCATCCTCGACCGATAATGGCATTCATTTACAAAAGATATATAACTTCTTGGATCAATGCAGATAGCGAATAATGATCCATAGACCTTAGACATATAACACTTATTTTTCTAATGAAAAAAAAAGAGTTCAGTTCTCAAATATTGAACATCTTGTTTCTAATTCAATATAGCATTATACAAAAGAATCTATTGTTTTAGATATTAGTAGTAAGTTAATAAAGTCTAAATAGATGAATCAATCAAACTGAATTGGTGTCAAGAATGCATTGGATCATTGTATATAATACGTGTTCTTCAAAATTAAGATATTTTTATATTCAATGATCATATGAGATTCATATTAAGTGAGAAACCAAACAAACAAAAACTAAGTTACAACTGAAATATCAAAAAAAAAAGAAAAAAACAAGCACATGATATTACATACAGAAAAAGAGAAAAAAACCGCATTCATTCATTAGAAAGATCGTAGAATAATGTCACTGTGAATATCATCATCAACAAAATCATTACTTGTTGTATCATCAATTAAGCGTAATTGATAAGATGGAACACTTCCATTTGGATGATGATGACGTTGATGATGATTGTGATGTGTTGGTGAAGTACTTTCTGTCATTGATGAAAAACATCCTGATGTTGATGAACGACATTCACCAATATCTGACCCTTCAAATGATATTGATGTCGGTGGTTCAATATGACTTAATACACAATCGAGAACATTACGAGCCTTAACAATGAACAAAAATAAAAAAGATATTTTAGTATATATATATATACATAAGTAAAGGCCTTTTACCGTGTGTGATGATTCTTCATTAGAAAACCATATTACTGGTTGTTCTTTATTTTTATCCATTAATATTTCATTTAGACGAGAATGAAGATCATAAAAATTTATTCGATTTTCAGGTATGTATCGCCAACATGATAACATTAGTTCATATCTATTTAAAACAAAATTCAGTAAAAAAAAAAGATATCAATACAAGGATATAAATATATGAACAGCTGCAAATCATCAAAAAAAAAAGTCCTTCTTGTCATAAATCGAACAATCAACTATTCCCAGATGTATAATACAATAATTGGATCAAGATAAACAATACTATTAGATTTTGTTGTCTTAAATCTATTAAAAATATGTCTGATTTATATGAACTATTTCAAGTAAAGTCAAATTCTTTTCAGAGTATATAGAGTAACTTATCATATAAAAATTATCTCTAGGAAAGTTTGTTATTCCACGATACATATGTTTTCATTTTGTGAAGTCACATTGCTAACAAATGATTTTCTAATAACACAGAATTCATTCTTAAAAAACACTTACATAATAATCAAAAGCAGTATTAAAACTCATGATATTATCAAACAAAAATTCTCTTAAAGATGAATAATTCAATACATATATGGTTCGTTGATTACTAAAGAATTCACTACATATATCAAAACACAATCCAAGTTCGCATTCGAGAACATCTATTTTATAATGAATTTTTTAAGTTCGATTCTTTCATATAACATTCCTATTTTTATATCAGCTTTTAATGCAACCATTAACATCCATTTACAAATCAAGGACTAGTGAAATATGAGAAGATGGTTCGATGAAGATAGAATCATCAATCTTTTTTTTTTCATCCTATGAACAATAAATATGATAATATTGAAAGAAACGTGCTTGTAATCATCAATGAAATAGCCATACATCATTTTTGTATCTATATCAAGTCTTGCAAAATTAATATAACTGTTTCAATATGTTTTTAATGTATAAAGATTTTTGTTTTTCTATACTTACAAAACATGTGTACATTGTATTGGTTTTTCTAAAGTTCCTCGTGTTGTTGTAATTAATGAAATAACTTGTTGATTATTCAATGGTGAATATGGTACTTGACCTAATGTTATAATTTCCCATAGAACAATTCCAAATGACCTAAAATTCAATTTTAATTGTTTTTGTTCAGCTGTATTTAAGGGTATTTTTTCCTTTTCGTAACGCAAAACTTTTCTGATCATTGCACAGTCTGTCGCGCTTTTCTTAAAAAAAGTGTAGCCATGCTCTCATCTCTCCGGCATAATACGTTTAGTTCAGCTGAAACTTTTTTCATATATAAGACACACGCTTTGGACTCGATATGTTTTTTTTTCTTTCGAAAAATATTGTTCTGTCGATTTTTGATAACGCTTATGAAAAACAAGCATGGGTTTTATAGGACACCTATGCTATTTTGGGTTTTTTTTATTCGAAGTATAAAAAATAAAAAAATATTCACGAAAAACAGTGTCTTTTCTTCTCGACTAAAAAATCCAATAAAACTTCTTGGATGAGGATGTCTGGGAAAACCAAGGCCTTTAAAATCACTTTTCTGACATCTACTTGAAACCTTTTTGGAAATTGTTTTATTTGATAGAGTAAATAATACTGAGAAAAATGAGATGATTTAACTCTCACTATGACCTTTCTTCATTAAACTCCATTCAATTTACAGAAGATTCAAGAAGCATTTTTCTTTGGTTTTTATGAAAAATTTCAATGATTTCATCGTTTTTGACACTTTGAAGTCTTCTACCAATTGAACATATAACTGCTCGAAACTGATGTGCACCCCTATACATCATCTCAGAAAAGCGGGACGAAAATTGGAACTATTATGATCCCATTATCTGATGGAACACAGTATCCGAGAATTTTGAGACTGACAACTTTTAATTTACTTGTTAGCATCTATCGGCGCTAAAAAATCAAACTTTCTGATAGGCCTCTCTCGAGATATCTCGGAAAGGTGTATCCTTAATTTAAACATACCAAATATCTGAATTTGAAGTAAAGATTGCATCAAGTAATGATTCTGGTGCCATCCATCGTACAGGTAGAAGAGCTTCACCTGTTTTCCTATAATAATCCTGTTGGCTTAACATTCTAGCTAAACCAAAATCGCCAATTTTAACAAGAATTTTTTCATGATCAATATTCGTTGATGACACAAGACAATTTCGAGCAGCTAAATCTCTAAAATTAAATTTTATTAAAAAAAAAATTCGTTGCTCCTTTCTCTCACCTATGAACGTATGAATGTTGTTCAAGATAACAAGCACCAGCAGCTATTTGTCTTGCTATATCAAGACAGTCGTCATATGATAATTCACATTCATTATTATTATCTTTTGCTGGTCTTGAACGTCTTAAATAATTTTGTAAATCACCTTGCTCCATTAATTCAATAATAAGAAATTGTGGTTGATAATCATTATGAAAACAAACACCTAATAAATGTATTATATGTTTATGATTAAATTGATTCATTATAATAGCTTCTTTAAGAAAATCAGTACGTTGTGATTGAGATGCTGAGCTAGGTAATGTCTTAAAAAAGAAAAGACACAGATTATGTAAAAGAAGTTTCCAAACGTTACGGATGGAGTTCTTAAAAAGTTTGGGTCGTGATATACAAGAGTTGACTTCTCAGAGAAGCTGACTTTTTTTTCGACTGCAAGCCATTTTTCAATGGTGCAACTTTAATATAGTGCATCTTGTAGAGAGTTTTGCGCTCTTTAAAGCTGTTATGAAAATTCTCAGAAAAGCGTGGAGTGTATTATTCCCGAAGCATAAATTTATGTCTTTTTCAGTGATATTTAGAAAATTTTGGTTTGAAAAACTTCTATGTGATCAAAACTTACGTGATGTTCTAAATCAACATCGAAAACTGAGTCGACTTATGTGCGCTTCAACTAACTTTATGATGTTTGTTTTCATAAAAAACTTCATCCTTACTCTCCCACCCTCTCAGGATTTAGGCAAAAAATGAAATTCATCAAAACGCTCTTTTTATGGTTCAATCATCGTTGATTTTGTCTTCTAACTTCATTTTACAACCTTAGAACTTATTTCTACTGCCAAAAAAACTTTTCGCTGAGACTCATTTTCTGACTAAACTTGAAAAGAGCCAGACATGCATTTTTTCAAGAAAGAAAAAACGTCTCCTAGATATTTGAAATACACTCAGCTAAATAGCATTCCAAAAGGTACAAAACTATGCCTTGTGAATATTACGCCTACTGCCTTTTCTGCAACCTTTTCCTAAAATCTTTATAATGGTTTTATAGAGTGCAAAGTTTTCTACAAGATGCATTATATTGACGTTGCATCATTGCAAAACGACTTACCATCGAAAAAAGTTAGTTTAATAAAAGTGCAGTATTTCACAAAAGTCATTTATTTTATATCGAGATTCGACTTTTTGAGAAACCTATTCGTAACATTTTTGTTCAGTTTCAGGTGGTCTTTCAAAAGAGATGTTGCTCGAAAAAAAAAGGATCAAAAATGACTAAGACATAAGCGAAACAATGGAGATGATCTTTTTTCTTCGGTTCGCAGAGTCCTTCATATTTCAATTCTTATGACTTCATCAAATAAAATCATAGGAATCCAAAAGTTTTTTTCATAATTCTAGTTTCAAATGAAAGAAAAGTATATCTTAATGTCGACTTTCAGTAAATCAATTCATTTTATTGCTGTTTTAACTCACTTTGATTGCTACTGATTGATTATTTGTCATTGTTCCAGCATAGACCTCACCTAAATATCGAACGTTTTTGATATAAATTTATAAAAAAACAATACAATACCGAAAGCTCCTTTGCCAATTAAACGTTCAAGTTTAATCATAGTTCGTTGTATTTTAGGTAATTTATTTATATCAACATTAGTGGGTGTATGGCTAAAAAAGATAAAATTTTTAAATAAAAAAATTTTTAATTATTACACATACTTCCAGGTATAAAGTATATTATCTTTTAATGCATTACAATATGTTAATGATCGTAAATGATCTAATTCTTTATCAGATATATTACCATTTTGACTATATTTTTTTTTTAATTTTCCATAAATTTTTTTACTACGTACTGAAACCAAGAAAGGGATAATCAATACAAAGAAATAAAGATTCTATAAACTTACAATAACATCCAAAAAATAGAAAACCAAAAACAATAAGAAATAAAAATGAAATTAAAATTGTAATAATCACTACTTGATTATTTGAATTTGAATAATAAATAGCTGAAAATAAAAAGAAGAAAATCATTAATATAAAAAAGACAAAGAATTTATTTATTTAAATTGACTAACGATCAATATTAATATCCAATTGTGAATAATTATTTTCTTGTCGTCCATATCGATTACCAACATAAAGTCGAAATGTCAGATTAGTTTTTTCAACCAATTTTGGTTTTAATTGATATCGAGTATTATTACCACGATAGACTAATGTCCAATTGTCACTTAGTCTAAACAAAAGAAACCTATGATATATTCTGTTCTACATAGAGAATATCGAGAACCTCTTTCAACTATTTCCATCTGTCGTAAGTGAGAAAATATTACCAAGGACAGTATGTATCAATGCCCTTTTCTCTATGTACCATAACATATTATTAAAACTTCCTGACATTGACAGTATGTTAAGACTTTTCATCTATAATAAACGTAACTGCATCGTGTTTTACATTTTTATTACGTTAGCGGTTGTTGATATCTAAACATATACATCCGTTGATTGGGTTTTTTGTAACATAGTCTGTAGTACTTCTTTTTCAATTACATACAACTAATATATCCTGTCAAGAATCCAAAGTTACATAAAATAATTGTTAGAAAGATTCTCTATTTTTCGTATAGGTCAATAGTCCCTCTAAAAAAAAACATATCCGGCCTTGCATAACGATGAATGAATGTACGACGGAAATGAATTACAAACCTCTCATAAAATTTCTACTGATACAAGTAGACAATTATTTAGCAAAAACTTTTAAACAAAAGAAAAACATCAATTTACTTTGCAAATAATTCATAATAATAATCCGGACCAAGATAAAATATATTCGTCAATGGATTTGTCCATGATAATGTTTTATTATTATTATAAAATGATAAAACTAATGGAATATTATCTGGTAAACCACCTGTTGTTTGAAATGAAAAATTTCGTGGTCGATCATAAAAAACGAATGATAATGATGATGATGTTGTAATTGGACATGTAGCACGTATTGATAATGTATAATTTTCTTCTGGTTGAAGTTTATCAAATATAACTGAACATTCTCCATTAGTTATATCAGCAAATGAAATATCTTTTTTACTTATATCACATTGACTACGAGAAATAAATTTCTGAAAAACAAAAATAAAAAAGTCAAAATATTCAATAAAAAAAAACTACTAATATTTACTGAATTATGATAAACAAGTGCTTTAACTTCAATATAAGATAAACATAAATGACGTATAGATACACGTATTGAACGAGTTGATAATGATAAAAATTCAACTGTAATTGGCTGAGGATATTTTATACGAACTGGATGATCAATAACTGATTGTCGTTGGTCATTTAAATAAAATAATTGAATTATACTTGAATATTCAATAGATGTATTATTTTCATATGGTAATTCAATAGAAAATACAATTGTTTTTATTGTCATTCTACCAATACGAGAGATAACATTATTATCTAATGATTTGACAATATGATGATATTTATATTGTTTTTCTATGGATATATATATGATAATTATTTAATATGAAATGAATAAAAAAAAACGAATTTACCATTAATTTTATATGAAAGTGTAATATTTCCGAGAATAGTTGAACGACGAATATGATTTGGTAATGTAACAATATAAAGATGTGTATCGGGAAAAATAAAAGATTCAATTTGTTCAATTGTTAATAGATCATCATTGGATAAAGTTAGAGCTTCGAAAAGAAATGAATAAATTTTCTAATATAAATAAGTTTTTCTTGTTTTTACTATTTTGATTCGATGATTCAAGTGTTTGGAAAATATGGGTAGGTAAAATACGCACATATGTTTCATCAGAAATTTTTATAGTTAATGAATAATTATGATTGGGAAGTAAATGATTAATAGAAATAGTATTTGTTTGAATATTCTATAAAGATGAAAATAAAAGACAAAATGTAAAATTTTTTTAATGTTTTTTTTTTTTGATTTACTTGAATTGTTCGTTCAAGTTGATTTGTATGTGTATCTGTTATGAATGCATGTATATAAATGGATGAACATTGTAAATTAGAAAATATATTTTTAAATCGAATATTTAATGAATAAGATGTTATTTGTACATGTTCTAATTGGCCAATGCCTTGTTGATGGATAGTACATAATGGTGATGATAACATACGATTATCTAAATGTATGACATAGGTTGCGGTTTCTTTCTTTTTGTCTATTTTAAATTTGATGAATACCTGTTTGAATAAATTGTTCTTCTTCACTATGAACAATTTTAAGAATGGTGAAGATAACTGAATGAAAAAAAAAAGAAAATACAAAATTCAAAATCTGGTTCATTTTTTTTTTTTTAAGAATACATTGATATATAAAAACTTACTGAAGATGACAAGACTACGACTCATCGTTGGTATTATTGTTTGCCTAAAAACAAAATAATTCAATTTTCGATTAGCTTGTCGTTCGTGACACTCACTCGATTCTCTTCTACTTCTCTCTCTCTCTCGCTATTGCTCTTTTGTACGGTACCACCATACATACATTCATTTAATCGAGTGAGTGAAAGAGCTTCACTTCGCCACTTATAACGATTATGAAACAATAACTACACGATCGAACATATAGGCACACTAAATAGACGCCACGTTCCCTATTTTCTTTTCTTCTTCTGCTTCTTCTCTTTTTTCTCTCTCTCTCTCTCGTCACTCTCGAGTGGAAATATGTATAGAGCCGTAAAACGCGCATTTATACACACCTTAAAAAATTTACTACTATCAATCACCTCAATGTCTTCTATATTATACTCTTATTCTTTTTTTTTATAGTTATACAGATAATCAGTTGCATATTGAGAATGATGCTACTACTAGTACTAATGTTGTTGTTATATGCGTATGTTTATCCACTAAGCACTACTTCTTCTACCAAGACGTCATTAACGCCTTTTTTCAAGTACGACTGTTATTGTTGTTTTCTTTTTCTTCTTTTACGAAGGAAATACGTAGATCAATTACACATTGTCTCTATGAGCTCTTTATTAAGAATAAAAAAAGAAGACAATCTTCCAAAAATGATTTCTATAGTTCGATTTTGCTGGAGAAAATCAGTCTGATCAAGACAATAGATTGGCATAAAATGCTTTTCTTTTTCTAATTAACGAATAGTTTTTACAATTGATAGAATAGTGTAAATAAGACAGTGATGGATATAGTTGATGTACAAGTATGTATATGCAATAGAAAAAAGCCAATTAACAAGAAAAAAAGACACCATCTGGTAATGTAGCAGTGATGAGAACAGGAGGATCATGTTGTTATGATATACGAGCAAACAACAATTTTTTTTTATCATTCCCAAAAGCACGAAGATCAAGTGGAAGAAAGAAGGAACATCAAGTCATTATCAACAATAAAAAGAGTCAGAAAAGCATAGTGTAGTCTAGAAAAAGTAGTAGTAATCTGAGATAGTAAACTAACCGATTGAACACATGTGGTTACTTGTTCAGTCGATGTCTCACTTATTGCACAATATCTATATACTAGAAAATGAAGAGCGACGGGTACTAAAGTAACTAAGACGGGTTTCGTTAATCGACTCTGACAAATACCAATGGCAGTAGTATTCTATCCAGTCATCCATCATTCAGCGCATTCACTGTTCATTAAAGGCTTTTCTCTCTCTCTCTCTCTTTATTTCTTTTATGACGTGTCTATGTGTAAACAAGGAATGATGATCTGTATCTGTCTTTTGCGTTCGTGGAAGTACATCAACATTAGAAATATAAAAAAATGGAAGCTCAACCTTGGCACATATACAAAACCAGCAGTGATGATGCCCACTGGCACATCCATATTGATACAATCCTCATGTGTGACATTTTGTCAGTTACAACATACTTTACAACATAGAACAGTATAGATATATCCAACTAGGAAAATTAGAAAAGTACCTTTTCTTCTCTTTTATCATGAACGATCCTTGACTATTTATGTTTGATAAATTATAGATGGTAATTAAAGTTTTAGATAACAAAATCATATACAGATGTGAGGAGGTTCCGGTCTTATTCTTGTCATTCGAGCGAGAGAAAATTGACACGATTACCTTGAAAGATGTCGATTGATGATCGGAACGATGCTATTAGCTAAATAATAACGACACGGGTGTCAACATGCAATGCAAAACCGAAGTGTCAATGAATATGGAGATACGATAGGAGACAAATGTAAAAAGAAAGAAAATGATATAAAGAAAACTCCGCCCGTTTGGGAAAGAAATAACTAAATCGATGTTTCCACAAGAGAGAAAGAGAGAGAGAGAGAGAGAGAGAGAGAGAGAGAGAGAGAAGCCAGTTGCACTCGATCAACATCAATAGAAAAAGAAATATAACAACTGCTACTATTCTCTCTTTCCCTCTCTTCTTCTTCTTCTTCTCCATGCACTATCTTCTAACTAACTAACGAACTACCGGCATATGCGTGTGCATATCAAAATGAGACGAAAGATTGATCAGTTTGAGTGCTCAGCATGATGTCTATAACTGATGATCATTATAAATCCAAGTTTAGAAATCAAAACAGTGATCGAAAGTCATCATTCATATGTACATATTAAGGCAAAGAAAAACAATTTAATGTTTATAAAGATTATAATGATGTATCAACATACCGAGTTAGTAATGATTTTATGCTTTTTTCGATTGTAATGATAGAACAAAAAAAAAAAAAAGAAAGAAATGGAAGAGTATATTTACTATAGTTTGTTTATTTTTCAATGTCAATCTACAATTTTTTTTTCTTTGCTCTTTATCGACATTTAAATAGCTTCATGTAAGTATTCATTAATATTAATTTTAAAAAGAAAAATGACTAAATAATATTCTTGAAGTCTTTCTTTTGCTTACTAATAAGTTAGTTAATAAAAGGAAATTACAAGATTAAAATGAGCAAAACAATAAAAACATTTCTATTAGCATATGCAATCTGCTTTTGTTTATCGTTGACTTATGTCACAACATAATCAGCTTACTTAATAACGACTATTTATTTTGATTATTTATAACATATGGTCAACTATCTTAATTTTCTTCTATGTGAACAGCCTGGATCACTAACACTAATGGAATGATTTCCTTGTCTTTGTGCTATTTAATTTTCATAGAGAAAATAAAAACAAGATAAGATACGTTTCTATTGTACAGCAAGTGTTAGTTTGATTTCAATAACATTTTGAGCAGACGATTATATTTGTGTTATGATTATTCTATTCCTTGATACATTTTTTCAAAGAGATGATTTAATGAGAGTTTAATAATTCAATTAACAGTTTCTCGGAAGAATTTAGTATACATTAAAAATCAAGGACAAGATCATTAACGAAGTTTGTTTGTTTTTCCTATCTTATTTCCAGTTATTTGTTTCTTCGAAGTCTAATATCCCATAATATTTAAAAGAAAATTTCTAAACTCAATTTTTTCTATTGTTCATTTCAATACAAATTCAATTGATCACATTTCTATAAGCATAAACAAAAAAAGGCTATAGATCTTCTATTGAATCTTTTTTTCTTTTGCAAAGAAAATCCTAATTGATCTTGCAGTTCAGTCGACTAGAAATTTCATAAATTAATCAGAATACGAACAGTCTTTCTTTCACACGTATTTTATTTCATAAAAAGAAAAAATTCTAAATTCATTTTTAATGAGATCAATCACAGATATATATGAATATATAATAACGGAAAAGAAAAATGCTTTAATCCTTTAATCAGGATCAAAAACTCGTTGCGCAACATCATTAACAAGCCAATCGATACCTTCCAAAAGATTTTGACCAGTTAATGCTGAACATGGCATAACTGTCCAATGATGTTTATGTATTGAATCTAGTTCTAATAATGTACGAATTTCTTGTAATGAACATGCACCAACTATGTCTTGTTTATTGGCAAATACAAGAAGTGATGAGCCCATTAAACGTTCTTCTTTAAGTAATTCTTGAAGTTCAGAACGACATTCACCTAATCGCATTTTATCAACACTGTCAACAACCCAAATAATTGCTTCGGTCGCTTCAAAATAATTACGCCAATATGATCGAAGCGATTTTTGACCGCCTAAAAATAAACACAAATATGTCTATGAATATTTTCAATAATTTCAAGAATGTATAAAACAAAACAAAACAAGCAATAAAGATAATCTTTGTCTTTAGTCTTATGCTATTATATAACGTCAAGTCTCGTTAACTAACATTTGCAAATTATGCATAGTTTTTCCTATGAAATTATTATTCTTTATTTATTCAAATCTAATCAAAGAATCTATCTCAAGCATTAATGACATCAAACTAATGATTAGTGAATTAAGACTCATGAGAACGAAGCCATAGAATATATTTTCTAATATATATGCAATTTTGCTCAAAATAGAAATATTTTGCAACATTTGATTATCAAAAAAGAAATAAAAAAGTCCAAATGGTGTTACATTACAACAAATATGTCAACTTATCTAAAACAATAAATGTATGAAGATATCTCTCAACCTACCCACGTCCCAAACATTCAGTACATAATCAGCATAATTAAATGTTTTTATATTAAAACCAAGTGTTGGTGCAACAGAATCAATTTCTTCACCATTAATTCTCGATAAAATAGTCGATTTTCCTGCATTATCAAGTCCGACTAGTAATAAACGCATTTCTTTTTCTTTTCGACGTAGTTTTTTCAATATGCTCAATAGTACCATTTTCTTGTTTTATGAATGAAATTGATCTACAGTCATATAGGTAAAGAGAAACAGAGATAAAGGAAATATTTCTTTTTTTTTCGCAAAAGAAAAAAAAAAAGGAAAAAATCCTGACAAACACACAAATAAAATCTTGTTTGAAAGAGAATAAAAAGAACAATAAAAAGACAGACAGAGAGAGATCGAATTACTGCCAAAATGTTGATGGATGGAAGATAGAAGCCACTTAATATCTATACAAAAAAAGAAAACAACATAATAGAATTTATAATAAATATGACATTTTTCAAACCTGTAATAATTTGGCTTAAATGGTCCAGCTTTATTGATACCTAAATATTTGCACTGATCATCAGTTAATTCTGTTAAATGAGCATCGAATGCAGGTAGATGAAGACTTGCTACATACTCATCTATAAAAAAAAGAATATTTTAATGAATCTAAAGAAAATCAAATAAAAAAAAAGACGTACCCATTTTTTTCGGTAATAAATAAACATCACATTTATATCGATTTGGTGGAGCATTATAAAGTTCAATCAAAGCTAATGCCTAAAAAAATTTTTTTTTTTGTTTTATATTAAATATTGATAAATTATTTTTCATTATACTTGTGTAGCGGCTGTAATTGAAACAACAAATGATGGTACACTTGAACAACATAAATTCATAATTCGACCCTAAAATTAATAAAAAAGATTAAAATTATATGATTATTCTTGAAAGAAAAAAAAAAAGAAATTATCATTTATACCTCAGCCAGTAGTACGATTCGTTTACCATTAGGCCAAATAACATGATCAACATTTGTTCGAACGCGTTCAATTTGTAAATCATTTGATGATATGTCACGTAAAAAGCTCTTGTATAAGAAAAAAAAACATTTAATAAAATCAACTGATACATTATTTTCTATTGAAAATACATACAACATCAATTTCTGTATTTGAATGTCCCATATTACAAAGAATGGCACCATTTTTAAGTTTATCTAATGATTCTCTTGTTATTGTATTTTTACTTCCAGATGCTGTAACAACAATATCAACTTGTTTAATAACTTCTTCGAGACGGACAACTTTATATCCTTCCATACTAATAAATCAAAATATAAATCATAGAAAAAAAAATATTTATTTGGAATTTATTGATTGATATACCATGCTTGTAATGCGCATATAGGATCGACTTCTGTTACATAAACAAAACAGCCCATACCCCGCAATGATGAACAACATCCTTTACCAACTTCACCTAATAACAAAAATAAACAAGTAATTGACTCCAATCATAGACAAACTGTAATATATATCTTGATAACAGATATTGCTCAATGAGTAACAATAGCTGTCAAAAAGTGTCAATCAATCTTTTTTGTATATTCATAAGAAAAATATATCAATATCTCTCTTTCTTTATTGAATTCTTTTTTAACTATATACTCGATTCTTTTCCGATTCTAGAAAAATTTAATTTTAACATACTAATACAAAATAAATCAATTTATTTAGATGTAGAAGAGTTTATTGACTATTGTCTTAGAACTGGCGTATTATTTACCATATCAAATAAAAGTCAACTGATAGCTTTTACGACTAAATAACTACAAAGTTTAAGATTAATATCTTTTACTATTAATGAGAAGCTATAATAAAACTATTTTGAATTATTTTTTGCATTTTCTAAAAACTTAATTTAATAAAAAATGCAATATATATAAATGGCAAAACGAATGCTATTCTCAAGAGCTTTTTGAATAACAAGTGCCCGATCAGACATTTTTTCTTCACAAAAAAAAAATACTTTCGTTTTTGCACAAGTCGATAGGAGGGATAAATAAATATTAACATTAGTCTATTATGACAGAATCAACTCAGACTGTCATATCGATCATCTTCTAAGGATAAAAAAGAATTTAGTTCTTTGTCATTATACTTTAAAACAAAAATTACACCCATCATAGGCAACAAAAGAAATTACAAAAAATTGTGGTCTTCAATCTGAATATTTACCTCGTTAAATAACGACATATGTTTTAAGGCGACAACTTCGAAGAGAAAAAGAAAAGTAAATAACGTATCAAGATCAAGTGAGAATGTGTTGTGACAGATTTTTCATTCACAATAAAAGCTGTACACTAGAGCCTGTCGGATACAAAATTACGAAGCCGGGTCTAATTTGTTGAACGATTTTAGGACTTAGTTGAGCCGTACTTTGATATTTTCGATGAAGTTTTCTAGTCGGAATAGAATAGTCGCCACGACGATACGAGACACTTTTTTCCGACTTTATATATTCGATGGCTAGCGCGCTCTACACATTTTTCAGGCAACTAGAGCTCGTCAAATCTAATACTTTCAGAACCGAACTCGATCGGCTCTACTAAAGACTTCAAACTTTGTAGTTATTTAGTACTAACTAAATTAAAAAATTTACTTTTATTGAATTTGAGAACGATAGATTTTAAGATCATTTCAGAACTTCAGGGACATTCCTTCAACGAAACAACAAAATAATTTCTATTCTTTTTTTTTCCTATATTCTTCATACGAACTTAATTAAGAAAAATTTTCTAATTATCTAAAATATAATATAAAAAACAAACAAACCATATCCACAAACAACAACTTGTTTTCCACCAAACATAATGTCGGTACAACGTTTAATAGCATCGATAATTGATTCTCGACATAAATATAAATTGTCAAATTTTGTTTTTGTAACACTATCATTAACATTCATAGCAGGTACAGTTAATGTTTGTGTACGACACATTTGATATAAACGATGAACACCAGTAACGGATTCTTCAACAATACCTTTTATTGTTGAAAATAATGTTGTATAGTGTTTATGACAATAATGTGTTAAATCTCCTCCATCATCTAATATCATATTTGGTTGCCAACCTTGATCACCACCAATAGCTTTTTTAATACACCACCAAAAATCATCATCACTTTCACCTTTCCACGCAAATATTGGAATTGATGCTTCAGCAAGTGCAGCAGCAACTTCATTCTAAATAGAAAATATTCAAGATATTTAAAAAAAAAAAGAATTTATTTATTAATATTTACTTGAGTTGAAAATATATTACAAGCACACCATCGTACTTGTGCTCCCAAACGAGTTAATGTTTCAATTAAAACCTTTTGTACATTTAAATTCAATAAAATAATAAACAAAAAAAATGAATACTTACAGCTGTTTGAGCTGTTATATGAGTACAACCAACTATTTTAGCTCCTTGTAATGGTTTATCATTTTCAGCTCGACGACGTAATGCCATAAGACCTGGCATTTCTATAAATAGGAAGAAAAAACAAAGTTTTTATTTACATTTAAATATTCTCAAGATATATTTGTCTCTACGGAAGTCATTACAACTTTTCCTTCTATTGATTACATTATATCAGATGAGAAAACTTTCAAAACCTTGACTTTTTGTTTTGTTTTTCCCAATTCTATTTATCACATAATAAAATTTGACAAGTTCATTATATTAATATTATGAAAAGAGAAAAAAGCATTGTTCATCGATATAAAGGATAATGATACATTTTTCTGATCAATAGCATTTTTTCTATAAGAATTATATGATTGTGATGAACAAAAATATTTTAGTCCATAATAAAAATAATATTTCAAATAAACAATAAAATGATATTCTTTGTTTTATAGAGAATTATTAAATAGACAAACCTTGTTCAGCTATTTCAATTTCACGCCGACCATATGGTGCATGTTTTATGCGTCGAACAGCAAAATCATTGAACCCAGATGAGTTTTTCTGTATGGATTAGAAGAAAACAAAAGGCAAAACGATATGAGATGAATTATAATATGTATATAATCAGAACTGACATGTTGCATTTCTCGTATATCAGTGCCGGCACCATCTTCAACATCGCTATCAGTATCACTGGCAGTTGCTGAAAATAAAGAAAAAACATAAAAATTATCCAAGGGAAATAAATATGTTTTCTTCATGTGTTTTTCTTCTGAAAAAAAAACATCACTTATTATTATTATTATTATTATTTATTTTTTCTATCTTTTTTTCATTAGAGATTTTCTACTTTTTTTTTATTATGAATTCTCACACTCTGGCTTTTGATTATCTACATCAGTAGATTCATATTCATCATTTGAACTAATTGATGGTAAACGTGTTCGTTGTTGAGTAACTTGTGATTGTTTTTCGAGACCAGATGAACGTCTTCGTATAAGATTTTTATCAATAAATTGCACAGATGGACGACGATTACGACGACATCGAGCTTTTTCAAGATCTGATATAGCTTCAACATCAGCATCATACTTTTCCGTTGACATATTTGTTCAATCGAGGAAAATAAAATGTAGTCAAAGGAGAAGAAAAACGACTGTTGAGAAGACAAAATACGATAATAACAAAACTATATAGGCACACACATAGAGACCGATCGAGTGGAGGAAATGAAGAAAACGACTATGATGAAAAGAGGTGTTTGTGTTGTTTTATATATGCCGTTTTCTCTATGTCTGATAGAAAGACAAGAATCAGAAACAACAACTGATACGAGAATATAACTGGCTTCGTACATCTTTTTTCTTGGTCTTTTCTTTTTTCCTTACGACTTTTTTTCCTATTCTTCTTCTTTTTTTTTTCTTTTCTTTTTTTCTCTAATGCATTTTAAGACATGATGATTATGGGAAAAAGAAATAAATGGAGAGAAAATAAGCTAACTAGAACTCACACTCTGCTTCTGAGACACTAGCTGCAGCATTAGAATCATCATCCGCTATCACAGTTGACGTCACTGCACTTGATAATGATTGAACGAGCTTTTTATCAAGAAATTGAACTGATGAACGTCGACAATATCGATATTGTTCTTCATCTTTTGCATAACCTGGAGTATTATCAACCATAATTGGTTCAACAGTATCAATTTGTTCGGCAACATCAATTTCTTCGGCAATATCAATTTGTTCATTTGTATCATTAGGAACCGAACTAATATTATCATCACTATTTTTACTGGATAAAGGGCGACGAAATTCTGATACCGCTCCAGGAATTGGATTTCGTGAACGTTGTTGTCCACTATGTGAATGAAATGAGAATATACGTTTTAAAGCCATATATTTGTAGGTAGACCTTTAATGTCGACGACAGAGTGAAGAAAAAAGAAGCAAATAAACAGTGTGCAGTACTTGCAAAAGCAAATTTTTCTCTTTTTTTTTTTTTTTTTTTTTACTGAAGTGGGGTACAACAAAAATAATAACAAGAACAACAACACAAACAAAAGTTTTTTTTTCGTTCTTTATCTCAATGCCGTTCTTCTTTACTCTTCCAAGTGGATGAATGAATCAATAATAATTCCGATTTTCTTGTACTAATAGGCTAATGTACTTAAACGTTTTTTTTTCTTTTTTTTATGTCCTTCGTATTAACTACAACTACGTATTTGTATTATAATAACAACTTTTACGTAGTTAATGTGTAAATAGACACAGAAAAAACATCAGGTATTTATTTTTTCTTCTGCCAATACTTAACACAACTGTGAATAGTTGGTAATAATTAGTTTTTATCGATTTCAAACTTCATTGCTTGATAATTATTGTGAATTTTTTAAAATACTTACACACACGTTCAAGCGTCTGTGTTGGTTGTTCAACATTTGAAAAACGTCTTTCAATTATATTTGAATTAGCACGTGATCGATAATTATATGATGCTGAAGAATCAACAGTTAATTTATTAGGATCTAATTGTTGTCTTAATGGATGATACATTGTTGTTACATTATTACGATCGACATTGATTAATGAAGTCGAATAGATGCCGGGTATAGGTTTTGATAAAACGTTTTTATCCATAAGAATGTATTCCAGAATCAAATAAAAACCACGTACTAATACATATAATGATCTGATCGTAAACAACAACCATCACACGAACATTGGAATGAATGACATTCAACAGTAGCAATGTGTATTACTCTCATCTCGCTTGATACACTTTGCTTTTTATCTTTCATCATTCCAACCAAAAAAAAAAAATCTAATGCCTACCATGGTATTATCTTTTTCCTCCATTCTATTTCGACTATATATGTAGGTGTAAAAAGGACAATGAGATGATTTATGATGCGCTTAGCAAATAAAAAAAAAAACTATGCGTTCTGGAATTTTTCATGCGCCTATTAAATTCTATTTATGCTTTATTTATTAGATACTTACTTCCTTCAGATAAGACTGAACTTTGTGAATATGAATATTGTCGTCGTGTTGTTGGATCGAGACAAGTACGATGCTAGAATAAATAAAAAGAAAAGAAATTCGATTAAAGTGTTCAAAAACTTTTTGAAAAAGAACAACACATATGAAAAGGTAATTGCTTGAATATTTAAAAAACAAAGAAAAGAAAATATAACTAAATTTTTGCACAATCATAAAAATCTCGTAACCTTTTAGATTATAAAATAAAGCTTATAGTAAATTTTTAATAGATTGTGAATTTTTCGAATGAATTCAATTCAATTAATTAAACAAAAGTTTTTAAATCAGTAAAAAACCAATGAACTTATTGGGTGATTGGTTTTTTATTGCTTAAAAGTTATTATTTTATGTCTTTTCGTCCTAGAGGAAGATCATATGCTACTTGTTCAAATATATAAACTCTACACAAAGTAAAATGTACGAAGTTTCTTCAGTATACAAATAAAATTTATCATTCGAAACATAATGTACACGCTCAAATTACAGAAGGTTGATAGCAACCTTAAAAATTTGACAACGGTAAAAGCCATTTTCAGCCATAGAAAGAGAAGAACTCCGATCGTTTGTTTTGTCTAATTCTATATAAGACAAGATTATTATAAAATCTTTCATCGTCGCAGAATATTCAGAAAAATGCATAACACCAGTTTTTTTACTTCGAGGTTGTTTTGATTTTGACATATGCTTCAAATCTATAGTTTAAAGTACGATTCAACTGATTATCTTCTCATAAATTATGTAAAATAAATTTTTAGTCTCTCATGCAATAGTGTTTTCTCGCATATTTCTGTATTGACCTCGGCTAACATTCACCACACACACACACCAGATGTCTAGATCTACTTTATGCTAGAATTGCAACTCGTTGCTTATTATTGTTACACATAATACAAGTGATGTCAGTCATGAAAAGTTTTTAATTATTTTTGAAACCTTCATAGATGAGAAAAATTGCAGTGATTCGATCACTCACTCACTACGAGTAATATTTGCTTTTCTGTATATGGTTCTTCCGTTCTGTAATTTCTTCGCATCACTATGAGTGAGCGAAAAATTATCCGATCTGTTTATTTCTGATGATCATAACCTGCAGAAACAACAAAATATATGAAAGAATTACATGAAAAGACATCGATGAGAAACTTGAATGTCGATCCCTGCGAAGATTACCCTCATTGATCCCTATAAAAAACCTTACTTCTTTAATTAGTTCTTAAATTCAGTAGTGTGGGGTGGGACGACATAGTGTGTGAGTGGAGATGGAGGTGGAGGTCGATGTGGATCTCTTTTTGACCCCCGCCAACATTACGTCATCCTGCTTAGTACTATGAAATGTAGAAACTAATTAAAGAGATAAGGCTTTTTATAGGGGTCAATTTAAGTACAAACTGAAAGTTCCTTAGACCGAAATTCTTGTAACCCACATTGACGGACGTATTGATTCTGAAATAGAGCCATATGAGAATGTATGATGTGCAACCAAAGAAAGACTAAGAAGTGAACAATTTGATAACGAATTAAAATTAGAAAATCAAGTAGTATAAAAATGAAGAAGATTTACAGCAGAAAAATGCCAGCAAATGATAGAAAAAGGTACCGAATGGACTGAAGAAAGTGATAGATCAACACGGAGAACAAATATATAAACATTAATCAATGTGTATTTTATTATTTGTCTAACAGAAATTCGATTTTTGAATATCTTTTCGAGCAGTACCTTTTAGGTAGCATTATTGATAAAAGATCAAACAGATTTCATAAATTATTTTGATTTTCATATCACTTGTATCTCAGTAAGAATAAGAAACAAAACGTTTAAATTCTAACATAGAGTAAATCTGAAAACTTTTCGGAAACTAGTTCCGGCTCCAAAAATTTTGAAGCTGACACAGTCTAGTGTACTGTGAGCATCAGTCAAGGTCAACACAGAAACATGGAGGAAAACAATACTGTATGAAAGATTGAAAACTTATTTTATATCCTTTATCTCAATGTTGAGTAAAGAAAATTTACGAAACTTTCTAATTTCTGATCAAAATTTTTTTGAAATAGAGCAGTGTTCTGATGTATTTTTTTTATTGTTTTGCGAAGATAATGAACTTTAAATCGATTTCGTTGTATATGATAGCAGAGAAAAAGACGTGCGAAGTTTTTCTTTTTCGATTGCTGAAAACAAAAAGTTTCCAGCTGTTACCGTTATCGACTTATTAAGCTGACGCCCATTCATTTTTAGTTCTGATGCAGATATTAGTTTCCAGAATGCAATGACTCATTCTGTTTTTTTTTCGTTCAAGGTTTATAGAATAATTAAATGTTTATTTTTTGAAACCTAAACCTACACTTAAGTTTGGTCTCTAACAAAAGATCAATGTATTGATAGAAGAAGTCAAGTGTATGGGAACCAGTTCCGATCATCATTTTTGCAGATTCAAAAAGATCGCCGCAAAAAAAGAAGACCAAAATAACATCATTAATTATTTTGATAAAAGTACTAGAATTTGCTTGATAAAGATTCCATTCAGAACAAAATTATTATATTTAAATAGTTTTTCTTCAAGTCAAAGAACTTATTGGTTCCAACTACTTTAATCGGTCTGATCATGGAACAGTTAGAATTCTGATCTTTAAGGCTCTTGGTTACGAAATAAACAGGAAGCTTTTATATTTCTATCTAAATAACTCATAAAATGCATTACATATAAATCGCTTTTGAAGAAAACTCTAGGACAAAATTAAGTATTCAATAGTTGCTCAAAGACTAAAATATTTTTCTTTCATATTTGTTTTTTAACAAAGTTTTTAATTTTCTAAAATGAAANTACCTACCATTCGTAGGTGAAAATCCAAGTTCATCCATAGCTAAATATAATTTTTCAATTACGACAAGAAGTGATTGGTATTTTTTTGATGGTGGTCTAAAATAACAATAAAACTTTTAGTACAAGAGTTTTCTCACAAAATATTCGCTTTTGTTTTAGTATTAAAATACAACTAATTAGAATCAGAATTCTTCTTTATTTCCACATATATATTCCTATTTTTCTTCTAAGATAAGACTAAAAAACTATCAGCAAATTTTGTAAAAAAAACGTCCAAAATTGTGTCTGTACAAAGAAATACAGCGACTTTGGCATAATTCTTAGTTTGTGTCTTAGGACAACTTTAACTCAACATCACTATCAGTAATCGCTGACAAAAGTTTTCAAATCTGTGATATAAAACTCAATATCACGCTTTGTACAGTAAACTTTTCTTTACAAAGCTGAACCATTAAAAACTATTTCACAATCGAAATACGAAATTGATCGAAATCGTTTTTTTACACAGCAATGTTCTACTAGAAAAAACTTAGTATTTTTTATATCTCATCTACATTTATGGTCTTACTACTAAGTATACATTATTGTAGGCAACAAATTATCATACAGCTCTACATATCATAATTGAAACTATAGATGTAGAGAAAATAATCAAAAAAAAATGTAGAAATAATCTCGATGTTCAGCTATGAAACGCATATTAAGGAGATATAGAATGCCTATCGTTACTTTCCAAAATTATGGTTTCTACTGCTAGACTCAGAATAACGTGATCGTTTGTTGATTAATTTTATCCTTAAGACCATAAATATAGAGAAGATATAAGAGATGATGAAGTTTTCTTAATTGAATATCCCTCTTAGTTATATATACAGAAAAAAAAAATTAAATTTTTTCATACACAATATCATCATCAATTAATGCTTGTGTTCGATCGAAATTTGCAAGACGTGTAAATAATTTAATTAAATAATCACATTGATCTTGCTAAAATTCAGCAAACAAAGAAATAGAATCTTTGAAAAAAGTGAACTATTTGTATATATCTACTGTCGCTTGAACATATTCAAATGCAAGTTCTTTAACTCGCCCTTGTTCCCAATTTGGATGAAGTTGTTGAATTTCATGTGAAACATTACTGAAAAGCTGGAAAAAAAGAAACAACAATATATATATATACAATGATATACATTTTTTTTCCTTACAAATTTATTTTTGGGATCTAATAATATAAAAGATTTTGGATTATCACTCATATTACTACTAGAATATAATGATAATGATTCACTAAAACAGAAATTTTTAAATAATAATAATTATTAAAAAAAAAATTATCAACCGTTTTCTTCCTAAAGAAAAAACTCCAGGACTTGATGATCGTCTGTCTACTAGTGGTGATGGTGTTGCGTTTACAAGATCATTTTTTAATTCAGTATCATCCATGCTTGATATTGTTGAATGATAATATGATACTCGATGACGATATTTACGAGAAAGATCAAATAATGATCGAAGTTTATCACAATATTCTTTATCAATATTTATTATTCCACTATGTTCAGGACCATATTCACGATGATGAGCAAATGCACGAATTGATACCTATGAAAAAAAAATTATTTTTGTTTGTTTTTCTTGAATATTAAGCAAAAAAAACAATGAAGCAGATTTTTGTTTACTTCTATATTATTTGTTTGACGATGGTTAACTGTTGTTGCCGGAAAAACCAAGACATATTTATTATGATGAATTCGTTTTGAAAGACGAAGAAAAATTAATGCTAAATTTTAAAAAAATATATGTAAAGATATAAAAATGAGAATAAAAAGAAAATTATATTGATGTTTGTCAGAGAATTTTTCTTAGATAAAATAAAATAAGTTATTCATTAGATGGAATAAATTTTTTATGACTAACGAAAGAAATATCTCTTCAATTTCTTTTCTTTTGATTCTATCTCTTAGTCATTTAGTAATTTTAATAAAACTAATGAGAGAATTTCAACAAGTGATAAATGGCTTTTCAGATGCGTATTAACTCATTGGACAGGCTTTATTGAATCTAGACAAACTCTTAGAAGCTTGATGCGTATGAGTCTTTCTGTTTCACTGATAGCTAGTCCAATGAATTTTATAACAAAATACCATGATTCACAACGGATTATCTTCAAAAGTCACTTTCGAATTTCGACTTCTAACTTGAACTAGTTTATTGTCAAACTATCAGATTTTCTACTGTCATCTATTCTATGATTAGAGCCTGTCGAGTTCGGATCCGAAAATTTTGGATTCGATGGGCTCTAGCAGGGATATTCAATATAAGAACAAAATAGGCTTTTTTTACATGACAGAATTTTCAATAAGGGCTTCTAACGATAGAAAATATTAAAAAGTCTGATACCTTTACAATTAATGAGTGACGACTCATTTCAAAAACAATTTTATCAATTGTCAAAATATTCTCAAGATCGTAGAAAGGTTTCCGATTATGGCGCATCATTAATGAGAAACGACCTTCCTTATACTGAAAACAAAAAACAAATTATCATGTGATGACTAGAATAAGTCAGATGGCAATTTTTTCCACAGGCCTGCTAGAATAACAATCCTCGCATTCTCCACATGTTGTTTTTTTTTTTGTAAAAAATAATAAAATTAATAATCTCATTATTGTTCATCTTCTTTCTTAACATCAGCAGTATGAATGATATTATTATTTCGTTTTCTAATCAAAATTCTTCACGAAAATCTTACTGTTGAATAAGACATTTCAAATATTTATATAAAACAATTATTGATTTTCTCTTCCGAAGCGACAATTTAAAACTCCAGGAAAGTTAAGAACTATTCTTGTAGCACAAACACATAGTATGTGATACAATAATCACAAACTTCGAGAGAACCAACTCAATTTTTAGAAGTATCCCGTCTGCTGCTCAACATCGATCGGAAATAAAACATTCGAGGAAAAAATAACATTTTTTTGTCTGGATACAAAATCTTGTATTCTACTAACGATAGGCCATAATCACATTAGAATATACTAATATTTAAGAGTCGAATAAAAAGCTTGAAAATCATTGGAGTATATTCCTCATGAGATTGGACTCAAAGCTATGAAAAACGAAAGTTACTTAGATTAGAATTAGAATACAACAAAACTTAACTTCAAGATCCAAAAGCTCACTGTTGTTTCCTTTGCACTACACATCAATTTTATATAAATACACTCATTTGCTAAAAATTCGATTATCCATTTCAATATAATATTAATTTTCTACTAAAAAAGCTTTTAGCACAACCCTGTGAAATTAAAATCTGAAATGCGATGTAAGTGCTTCTGCTGATTATAGGAAAATTGTTTTATTTTCTCTATTTTGCGATACATTTCTTTCGTATCATTTTACTTAATCCTCCAGAAATGCAATAAGGAAGTAGTTCATATATCATAACGATAATTTATTGATATACGATCTTTAATGGTGCTATCAATGACGCGAAAAGAGAAGGAAGTAGTATTGCTTAGATGTCTGTCATGGTATGTGGAAGACACAAATTTCTAGCCTATATATACATCAACACTCGTTTTGACAAAAATTACCAGTAAGAATTTCTTTGAGATATGCTTTCGTATGTAAATCATCATACATATGTAATAAAATTTGTTCAAGTATTTGTCCTAAAATATTATTATTTTTTGCTGCAACTAATGTATATGCAATAATTGATTCCATTGTTGTTGGTGAAATTGTTTTAATAAGTTCATTTGGACATATTTCAATAGTATATGTAAAAAGATTTTTTTTTTCATAAAGTAATGTTGATGTTTTTGTAATAAGACCACGTTGTGTTGTATATTTGGTATCATATGGTAAATTAATTGTATCATTAGGAAAAAAAAGATGATTAAGAAAATTTAATTGAACATTAAAATTAAGTAAATGAACAAATTCCCCACGTAAAACAGCAAAAACATAATCACCATCTAAATAAGAAAAAGGAACCAAAGTTTATATCTCATTTATAATTTTTTAAAAAATAAAAAAAATTTTAAATTTACCAAGAAGACCAAAATGAACTCGACGTGATTGAAATATTTCCCAATGTCCTTGATTTAATGATTTTGATACATAAACACTACGACCTAGAAGAAATTTTCATTAAAAAAAAAACTAAAAACAAAAAAATTTAATTAATTAAACAAACCATGACCAAGTGAAACAACTGCATATTCCACTTTTTCAGTTTCTTCCTTAAAAAAAAGTTTTTTTTTTTTTAAATAAAAAATCCAAAATTTAAATAGTTTATTTTACTTTCATTGTAGATTGACAACAAAGAAAAAGATTTGTATCATTTGAAAGAATTTCAAAAATCGAATGACTTGATGAAGATTCTAACAATTAATTTTCTCGATTAGAATAAAAAAAAAAAAAAAACTTCTTATATTCTTACGTGGTAATTTAAAATCAAAATCAACTTTCATCTATAATTAAATAATATTAAATTTTATTCATCAAAATTCTACTTACAATACTCTCAAATTGACCTTTTGCATTTATAGTATAAGCTGTGTAGACTAATGAATCAAAGCCATTTGGTGGTATTGTTTTTATTAATCTTGGTGAACGTTTTTGTATAATATGTAATCGTTGTTGAATTGTATCCCATTGATAATAAATACATTCATTTATTTGTGCAGCTTTATCAACAGCAACTGATTTATCCTATTAAATGAAAATAAAAAATTTTTTTTGGGGTAAATTAAAAATGTTTCTTTTTTTTTTTGTTTCAAAAGAACAAACCAAAGCATTTTCATTATATGGCATTCGAAATACAGTAACAGCTAAAATAAAATAAAATAAAACTTCATGTGTATATTATTTTGTTTAAAATGTATATCAAACCATCTCGATAAAGTAATAAAATAATATCATAAGGAGCAAGATATGCTCGAATTGGACTTGAACGTGACAATTTAAGTGAAAATAAACGTCCTGAATTAGGTGCACCAATCTCAGCAACAAATACATCAAAATTATTAGATTCTGTAAAAAGAGAAAAAAAAAATGAATAAATCATTTTGAAATCGACTTTTTTTTTTTCATAGAATAATATTAGAGCAATTTAACAAAAGCTAACCTGAACGTGTTACAAAGCCTGCATTAGTATTTCAAATATCATTTAAATAAAAAAAAAACAACTAAACCAAATACAGAATATTTCAAACTTACAACATAATGATCGTGTTGCATTGATACTAGCATGGGTAATTTTTACACATGATGGATGACGATGATAGATCTTGTATATTAAAAAAAAACTTCAGTTTAATATTTATATAAATTTTAAATTAATTACTTTTTGATCACCGTCACTTAATTGAATACCGCCGATAATGGTTCTTTGTGTAGAAGAATTCTATTTATATAAATTTGAAAAAAATTAAAAAAAAAGGAAATACAACATAATTACTCGGGAAAGAACAGTTGCAGAAAATAGTAAAATAGAACCTTGGTCCAATCCAAGTATAGATACATTATCCACATCATTTAATGATAAAGCTGTAAAATATAAACAAATTAATTAAATAAATGAATATATGTATGTATGATATAAATATACTTTTTTCTAAATGTTTCACAACTATGAGAACCATTGTTTTTTCACGTGATTAACAACTCAAATGTAGGTAGATACGCTGGTAGCCAGACAGTTTGTTTTTTTTTCACCAATGAATCATACCATACCTTTAGTTGACTGGCTTTTAGTTTTCGTTGATATGTCGCAACACTTCTACAGATGTCACACGCATGCTTATAATATAGTTGAAAGAGAATTCCATCGATAATGATTAGAATTTCAATGGAAAATTCGTTTTCATTCAAAAAATAAAATCATAGAAGTACATATTTTGTCCCAAACAAATGAAAATCTTTATTTTCTATACTCAGTTACAATTCTGTCAATTATCTCCTGAATTAATTAGATATATACCTAGAAAACTAGACATGCCGATAAATATAAAAATGTTACGTATACATACATTGAAGAGAGTGCTATAATTAATGGATATTGTTGCTGATATAATCAATGTCTATTTTGGATTTATTTATATAAACTTAATTGTTTTCACATGGTGACGGTATTTCTATAACGGATAATCGAAAAGTAATCGGAGAAAATATTCATTCACTTTTCAGCTTCTTTAAAAAAAAGGCCTGTAGAAATTTGAAAACATTGAGTTTGAGTCAAAAATATTGTGTTCTTTCCGAATATAAAATTAAATTTTCTTTCAAAAGTTTTTGTTTTATAAGTGATGAGCCGACCTTCAGAAATTAATTTTGGGTGAATTTTAGCGCGCCAAAAGTTATCCACAATAGAAGCGAAAATTATTTCAAATATAGCAAATGAAAGAGAAAATATTTCTCTATAAAATGGTGTATTAATCATTAGTTTGTTCCAAGACATTTGTTAACAGTTGATAGTTTGGTAAGAGATACTGTGACAATTTAGACAGCTATCTCAATTTCTATGGAAAAGTAGACTTGCAAAATAAGATTTGGCCATTCCTGAATGATTGTTCTGAAACTTTTGATTCTTATATCACTTTATAGAGAACAATCTCACCATTAGTTCCATAGATAAAAATCGATAAAATAAAGTATGTAGTAAAAGAAACTATGGCTGCAGAAAAAAAAACGTACATCTTCTCCATCCAAATTTGATTTTCGAGCTTGCAAAAAGGTCGATTCATGAGTTCTAAACTAAAAATTCAAGAGAAATTCTGAACCTCTATTCTGAAACAATATAAAATTGAGATCCCAATCAAATATATTCAGATTTCTGCAAGTTCCTTTATGAGATTGAAAATTGAATAAACATTTTGTCAAATTATTTTTCAATCAACCATTAGTAGGCATTCCATTGCCAATGCAGCAAAAAAAATATTAAAACTTATATTTTTTGTGAAGAAAACAAAAAGACGTGTGATAAAATCACAAAAAGTACTTTTATCTTCAGAAAATATATCAGTAATAATGTTCTTCTGTATTCATGATAGGATATCTGATAGAACGAATACCCTTAATACCAATTTTAAAATCTGATGAGTAAAACATTAACATCAATCAGTTTGTATTGTAAACGATTGAGCATTCTTCATTTTGTTCTTTTTAATCGTGTTATGAGAAATTCATCGTATTCAAGTAGATAAATTTTCAATATCAATAGCAACATAGTTTTATTCAATATTGAAATTTCACATATAATCATCTAAATAATAAATCGATCGAACTTTAGAAGAAAACTCTATTGGAATAATCTATATCTAGAAACTAGTATGCATATCATTTATGATTAACACCTGAATCTAATATCTTTGCTCATTACTTTGTTCTAGGATAATGATTGAAACATATAGTAAGAACCGACAAACAAGATGATAATGTATTATGTATCTTTTATCTTGATACTTGTATTGTTTCAAGATTATATGTTACCATTATAGGACTAGAAAATGTTTTGAAAGTATATATATATGATTTTATTTCTCCCATATGAATCATTTTGACAACATTCAATATTTGTTTTTTTTTTCTCTATAATATAAAGTAATCAATAAAACTAAAGTATTGATCAGAAATAAACATCGAAATATTTCAGTTAATAGTATTCAATATATATTATGGATAAATATAGAATCGGCATCAGAAATAAAATTATTTGGTTGGATTTTTTCTTCGACTATAATATAATTTAATTATAGAATATTATCAAAAAAAAAATTTATCTTAATTTATCAAGAATCATAAGATTTTCTTTACCCATTAAACTTGACTATCATTAATGATTTTATACTTATTCTTATTGTTTCTTTTACTTAATGCTAAAATAATGTTCTGTCATATGTTACTTTTTGATTGAATAAAAACACCGAAAGAAAAGTGTAAGCACTCACTATTCACATTTATATTCTTTCTTTTTATTTTTTGACTTTTTTTTTCTAAAAGAATATATTTAATCGACAACATACGAACATTGATCATACTAATCTTAAACATGAAAGAACTTTCATATGTACTGGTATTGATTAACTATGCATCTCTTGTTGATAGTTCATCATCATCATCAAATACAACAGGTGGTCGACCTCATTTTCCAGTTGTTCAAGTTACATTTGATCATGTTTCAAATGTATTTGGTATATGTCTTTGGATTCTACTTGGTATTTTAGCTAAAATCGGTATAGTTAAATTTAAAAGAAAAATCAATTTTTTTTCTTTTTATAATTTTTTAAAATTTTCTTTTATTAGTATTTCATTTATCACATCGTTTAACAAAAAAATTTCCTGAAAATTGCCTTCTTATCATATTAGGTATTGTTGTTGGCGTTCTTTTATATTTAACACATCTTGAAGAAGAAAAACGAATATATATACTTAATAGTGATGTATTTTTTCTATTTTTATTACCACCTATTGTACTTGAAACAGGATATTTTTTACCAAAACGAGCTTTTTTTGATAATCTTGGAACAATACTTTTATTAGCTGTACTTAATAAACTTTTTAATACAATGTGTATTGGATTAACAATATGGGCATTTGGAAAAACAATGTTATATGGTGGTACAAAATTTGAATTACTTGAATGTCTTCTTTTTGCTTCATTTATTACGGCTGTTGATCCAATAGCTGTATTAGCAACATTTGTAGAAATTCGTGTTAATGACACATTGTATATTGTTGTCTTTGGAGAATCACTTCTCAATGATGCTGTTTCAATTGTAAGCTATAATAATTCTATGGAGTTTAGCGTATATCTATCATTAGTTATGTAATGTAGATCACTTTTAGTATTGATAGAAGTGTCTGATGAGTATATTCGTAGCAAAAATATCTCAAACAAGATCCTATAATATGACTTTAGTAGAGGTGTTCTGTACTCGATAGTTACTCTAGAAAGAATAAACAAACTGCATTTTGACTATGAAATTTAGTGTCATAATAGTTATCAGAAGAATTAATAAATTCAATTATCCTAACTGAATTAAAACTCAGATTTAGAATTTTAATTATTTATTGATCTTTTTTTTTTGTTTAAAGGTACTCTATCGAATGTTCGAAAGTTTTCTAACTATTGGTCAAAATAATTTAACTCCAAAGGATTTTTTTCTTGGTTTTGTATCTTTTTTTGTTGTAACTATTGGTGGTATTCTTGTTGGTATTGTATTTGGTTTTATGGCTGTTTTTATGACAAAATTTACCGAACGAACACCAGTTCTCGAACCATTAGTTGTATTTATTTATGCTTATATTGCTTATATCATAGCTGAAATGACTGGATTATCTGGTATTCTAGCGTAAGTTTTCTATTTTAATCAAAAATTATTTCTTTTGTTTTTCTTAGTTTCTTTCTTTTCGTTTAGTATAACAATATGTGGAATGGTAAGTTATAAAAGTATGAATATTCATATTGATTATAAATTATTTAAGATGATGAAACAATATGTTGAATATAATATAACAAAAAAATCCATGGCAACTATTGAATATGTTCTTAAAATGGCTTCAAGTATAATGGAGACAATTATATTTATGTTTATGGGCTTAACTACGGTGTCTGAACAACAAATATGGAATACAGGTTTTGTTATTGTTACTCTTCTATCATGTCTGATATATCGAGCTATTGGTTTGTATAAAAACAAAAAAATTTTTTTTTTCAAAGTATAATGAATTTTTTTCTTTTGATTTTTATTGTTTATAGGTGTTGCTCTATTTGCTAATTTAGCTAATACTCGTCGTTTACTTGAATTAACTCGTATTGATATGTTAATTATGTCTTATGGTGGTCTACGTGGTGCACTTGCATTTGCACTAGCACTTATATTAGATGAAAATTTAACATCAAGAAAAAAAGAATTTATAACAGCATCTACTGTTGTTGTTCTGTTTACTGTTTTTATACAAGTATATCAAAATAAAAATATTTAAAAGCAAAACATAAAAATAACAACATATATTTAAATTTTTTTTAGGGTACAACATTAGGTCCATTAGTTAAATTACTTAACGTACGACGAAAACAAATTGAAGAACCAACAATGAGTGCAACGTTAACAAATCGTGTAAGTTACAAAAAATAAAATAAAATAAAATATATCCATTATTAATTAATTTAATTAGATGATGGATCATGTTATGACTTGCCTTGAAGATATAGCAGGTATAACTGGTGCTAATTCTCTTCGTAATAAGTACGAAAATAAAAATAAAACATCTAAAATATATATTAATTATTTATTATTTAAATATAGATATAATACATTTGATCATAATCATATGAAAAAATGGTTATTACGTGAACAACCACAAGAAAAACTTGATTTACGTTTATGGCAAACATTTCGTAACATTGATTTACAAACAGCTATTAAATTACATGAAGAAAATCCAGGTGCAAAACAAATAATAACATCACATTCACCTAAATCACAAACATTATTTGCTGTTGTTAATCCTTCGAGTACTAGTAGTCGAAAAGAGAGTATCATATCGAATATGTTTGTATTTCTTGCTTTAATTTTTATATATTAAAATACTTCGTTTTTTTTTGTATCATTTTTCCTCAGTATAACTAAATCGGATGATTTTATTATATTACCAACCATAAATAATGAATTGGTACCATTGACAAAACCGGATGATATAAAAAATTTACTCCATTCTAAGATGTTTGATACACATCGACGAGTATGAAGAAATAATAATAAAATCATTTGAGTGTTTATATTTTATTTTATTTTATTTTAGGCAAGTATTTATGCACGAAGTCAAGATGAAGTAGAAAATGATGAAGATCTTGATCAAACTATAATTCATATTTTACAACCATCAACAATACTTGATTCATCCAGCTATATGTTAGAACAATCAATGGATAATTTACCAAGACAACGAAAAAAACCAAGCGGTTAGAATAAAGAAATTGTTTTATTTTCAATTATTTTTATTTTATTGTATAGATTCAACAACAACAAATCAATCATCATTGAAAGATATAGACATATGTCGTTTTTAAACTATGAAAATTTTCTCTTTTTGCGTTTTAATACAAAAAAAAGCCTACATGGCATTCGAGTGTCACTCGTATGCAACATACGATCTCGAGCTTCCAATATCGATTGACGAAAAATTGTTTGGATAATTGGATAGGAAACCATTTTTGCTGCAAGATAACCACACTATACTGGAATCAAGGCTACTTTTTTGTCATTCTAAATTGGCAAAGTTATATGTTTCGACCAATTCGATGATTAAAGTCACAAAAAAAACTGGGATGTAGCCATTGCGAAACTCAAGACGAAGAGAACTCTATTAACGCGTATAAATATGATTTAAAAGAGTATTTTCGATTGATCGCTTGATTCACTCTCTGATTTATTATTGATCATTAGATGTATTTATAAATGTTTTAATTAAGAGCAAATTACTAACTTTAATTGCTGTCTTCGTTTTACTAGTCTCGAACCTTGAAAAAGTAACATCAACAAAAACTTGTCTTTTTAAGCGAATTTCTGGAAGAAAATCGATGCGATCGATTCGATTATGAGTATTTTCTGACTTTTGCTTCTTTAGATCATTACGACAGAAAATGAGAATTTTTACTGCCAATGTCGAGGAGGAAAGAAGGACTTCATTAACTACTGTAGTTAGTCAAATCACCGTTTTATTCTTAAGGAACTTTATTTTTCTCATAAATATTCATGTCAATCAATTTTAAAGCTCACTCAAGTATTTATTATCGTTATATTCAAGAAGAATTATTCGAAAAAAATTTTCATTGTATGCAAAATAATCATGGAATAATGATTAACAATCTTATACTCAAATACCTGTGTTTGATGTAAAAAGAAGTTGAGGATAGAGCTGTATATAGTTTAGCTATTGGTCCAAGATCAAAACAGCAAATCTTAATACAGCATCACCCAGATCATATCATGCTAGGTGATGCTTTACATTCATTTCGATGAATAACCTTAATGAAGAGCCACTCTCGAGTCATATATGTAGGGAACTGAAACTCTTCTTCGTTTACGTTTCTAATTTTATTCTTTAATTAGATATTAGTGATTCAGAAAAATAGTTATGCGAGTATTAGATGAAAATTAAACAACGACTTAACAATTCATAAGGATGAATAATTAAATTGATGTTAAAGATATTTCTTTAAAAGAAAGCAAATGCTTGTGTCGTATTGACATAGCATAATGGCATATATTTTTTCGTCCGTTTTTGTATTGGCTATGAGTGAATGATTATTTTCTGTTACGTTCATTGTTGTGCAACGTTGATGACATAAACAAAAATCATGTATTGTAATGTTCTGCACTTATATAAAAGATTGTTTGGATCCTTTTTTTTCAGACAATCATTGTAATGAATGAACCAAAGATTTGTGGCGAACTCAAACAGCAATAAGATAAATCGAAACATAAACATTCAATACATCTTGAGAGACACAAGATTTTAAGAGAGAAGAATGAGAAAAATAATATTCATAAGAATGAAATTAAAGATATGACATTTTTTTCAGTATTTGAAAAAGTATTGAATGAATATAGGAGTTAAATCGAATAGTGACAAACTATAAGTGAATTATTCTTTATGTTTCAAATGTAACAGTAATTCAACTATAGATAGAAATAAATCATTTAATCGGTAAGCATTCCCTTTCCTTCTCTTTTCTTCATGCAATTAGTTATAGTTAAATTGAAACAGAAAGAATAATTGATTTCATGAATCAAAGAATTTTCCTTTCTCTGTTCAATCATCCTGTTCAATACTTCTATATTTAACACAGAGAAACTCTACTTATTGAAATACAAACTATAGCCTGAACATCTTTTATTTACAATACATGTTAATCAATGAGACATGTATTGGTTACCTTACCGATGGACATAGTTCTATTGTTTTATAAGATAGTTTCTCTGTGCATGCGCACATCTCTCTTCAAATAAAAACAAAAGAAAAATATTCTTTTATTTTTATTACATTTATATCTTCGAACAAAACAAAAAGAAAATTACATTTTCTTTTTCACATATTCGAGGTTATTTCTATATAGTTGAATATTTGGATAGTTTGCATGTAGTGCATTTTCTACTATTTTAAGTGCTTGCTCACAATATAACACAGCTTTTGAATGCTCTCCAATTTTAGAAGACACCATTCCAATATGTCCATAAGTACGAGCAAAATCAGGATGATTTGGAGGAAGAGTTTTTTGTTTGATTTCCAGTGCTTTTTGACGAGATGAAAGTGCATTTGAATAGTCACCCATCTTGTCATACACCGAACCAATGTTGTTGCAAGACATAGCCAAACTCGGATGATTTGAAGGAAGAACTTTTGGTAGATTCTCAGTGCTTTTCGATGAGATGAAAGTGCATTCGAATAGTCACCCATCTTGTTATACACCAAACCAATGCCAGTGTAGGAAGCAGCCAAATTAGAATCAATTGGTGAAAGAGTCCTTTTGTCGATTTCAATGGATTGTTTATAATAAACAATGGAATTTGCATATGCACCTTGATTCTTATTCACCCATCCGTGCTGGTGATAAATAAATGCTTTTTCTCGATCAGTCGTTGTTTGATCAAGCAGGATATCATATAACTCTTGCGCTTTGTCGAACTTTCCCAGTTTAATTAGTAACATACACAAACGTTTCCATCCTTGGGCATCAGGATAGGTCTCTTTGCGCATTTGTTCAGTAAGTGCATGAAGAACTGGATTGTTGTCACTGGTCAATGTCAAATTAACTTGCCAAAGACGACTATTTCCATCGATTTGTTTCATTTGAATCTAGGACACTTGCTCGCGAGACAGTTGCCCGTCGGACAGATGCCCGCAAGACACTTGTCCTCACCCGCATCCTCACGATTGTCCATTGCGGGCACGTGTTGCACGAGCAAATGTCTTACGGGCATCTGTCCAGCGGGCAACTGGCTAGCGGGCAAGTGGCCATAACTCATTTCATTGGTCCAATACGGAAGATGGAGTGCATAGAGAAGAAAATTTCTTCTTCTCCTTTGAAGTAACTGGAATCATGAACATCAGCAAATGGTGTTGACCGGATGAATGAGATAATTTTCATGGCGAATAAAACACCAGCAAGATCAGACGATTCAATAGTTTCACGAGCAAAGTTGAGGTATACTTGATGGTACATACTAGTCGATAAAAAATTATTAAATGATAAAAGTTTACTTTGTGTCTTGATCATCTGTTCAAAGTCAGTCTTCGTTAGTCCTTGACCACGATAAACAGTAAATGAATTCGAAGTTGTTTGTCCAGCAAACTGTTGAGTATGAAGCCTGGCGATGTGATTGTGGAGATCATGGATGAAAAATCCCATGTTTATGATCAAATTGATCTCCATCATTCGTAATGATCTATTGAGCATCGAATAAAGAAAACATTGGTTGGTATACCGTCAGATCGGAAGATGTTTGTGATATTCTTACTTCAGTTTATTGATATAATGAAGTTCTTTTGGATTGTCGGCGAAAACATCTCGACAGTAAGTGAGAAATTCATTGATATGGAATTGTTCGAAATCAATAGTTAATAAAATCTCCTTCATTATTTGGGTGTACATAAATGAAGAATCCAATTGGTCGAGATTTGGCTTACTACTTTTATTACCAGTGGTGACAAAACTGATCGAAATCATATTTTGATCACATTCATATGCCTCTTGTTGAAGGGCTTTACAGATCGGACTAATATCTGTAAAGACACCTTTTATTTTTGGCCAGTCTTTGATCCATTGTTCATACTGAGCTTGGTTTCCACAAAAAATATAAATTGTGCTGACCTGAGACATGTCATGTACAATAGGAACTGTGGTTTGTCCTAATGCACCAGAAACAATCATAAGCGTTTTATCTTATTTGAAGTCACTGATAAAATTGAGACATTCATCGACATTGGTGAATGTATTGACTTTGTTGACAACTTCTTTTAATTTTGAAATTGTATTCTTGCAATCCTTGTTGTTTTCTGGATCGATGTTGCTGTCGAGTCATACAAACAAAAAGTTCTGAACCATACGGGGATGAAGAGATTGTCGCCGCCTTATGCTCGTATGTTCAGATGCTGTTTAAATAGTAGTAGCAGTTGTTGTTGTTGTTATCGGCTTTTTCGTTTTGTCCATGGTGTGCGTTGTGTTTCATCGATGAAGAAAATAAAATAAAATAATTCGAATTTATATCGTATGTTGGAATTTTTTTCTAGATATTACTAACTATTTCTTTTTCTTTTTTTTTGGTTGTTTCTGTTCTTCTTTTATCGTTTCACTGAAATATTTCACTCCTTTTCTTATCGGTTATCGTCTCAGATGCCGCAAGAAAATGAACGAATGAAAAACAAAATATTACAACATAACTTTATACTCTATGTCACATTTCACTTCCTTTTTACGTTGTCTGTAAGCTTTTGTCTCTCTACCTTCTGACATTGTTTTGAAAACGAAACATAACATCTATGATATTCTTGTATATTTACTTCATTATGTTGTTGTAATTAATATCCAGCTCCAAAATTAGTTCATTTTGTATATTCACTTCAAGACTCAATCTAGGCTTATCGTCTATGGGATTATAAAACTTCCGAATTGGTCTAAATGTGAATTTTATTGAAAAAAACATGTTTCTATAGTGTATAAAGTAGAAAAATCAGTTTTATATGTTTAATTGTAGACATCATAAACCGAATTTGTTGCTAATTGAAAATCAGTAGATATTGTATCAAAAATTCATGAAATTTGTAATATACTGGTGAACGAAAAATTTTTACTAAGTTTTCATTAATTTTTGTTGTTTTTTTAATCTCCAATTTGTTTTGATTCTCTATCACTAGCAGAAATAGAATGCAAATATCAAGAATAATGTATTTACAATTGATCATACTGACTATGGTATTGCCTAAAAAAGATTATAATAGATCATATGATATAAAATAAATTTTCATGATAGTTTCTGACCAATGTTTATAATAATTAGTATTCGATAAGGATCAGTTCACTATTTAACAGATTTGAAAAACCTCTGAAGCTATAATAACTAAGAAATCGAATTCTGTTGTGTCGTTGTATGCACAGAAACTATGAATTGTGATTGAACAAACAACATTATGTTGTAGTATTATTTTGAATTGAATTTATGCTCTTATTGCTAATAATAGAAAGAAATTTCACGTCAACGAAATTGAGAAAAATGTACAAGTAACCAATAACATAATATCAACTCTTCAACTGTCTTTAAAAACAAAGAACTATTACGTGGTTTTCGTGTAATTAATGAAAAATAGACATACACCTGCCTAGTACTGTAGGCTAACTCACCATGTACAATAGCTTTTATCAACCATAAAGTAAATTAAATCAATTATATTCTTGTATAGTCATAATAATTGAAGTTTCGTTTAAACTACGAGACTAACGAATACATTTTAAATGTCAATTACTGATTTTCGATATAATGAAAACTTCGAAAGATGGCAGTAACATTTGATTCTGATCACTGTTGCTGGTGAAACTGGTTTACATTATCTCAAAAAAAAAAGCGGAGCTCTCACTTCAAAATCGTCATTTTTTGGAGCGAATGGAGAATGAATGGAACTTTGCAACAATATTCGAACGAAAATCGTAGGATCGACTCTTGGATCTTGAAATCATTGGGATACAAAATACGATTTCGAGTTATGTGTCGATAACATTCTATTGTGTAACATTTCATTTAGTACAGAATTCAGTAATGTTGTGTTGAAGCTGTTTCAAGACAAAAACTAAGATTGTGCCAAAATCTACATATAGCTTTCTACAAAAAATAGTTTTGGAGTTTTTTTCATAAATTTACTGCTAGTTGTTCAATATTACACCAAAAGAAAAATCTGAACATAGATTAGAGAAAATCGAAAAATTCTAATTCTAATCAGTTAACTTTGAATAGCCAAAAAATTAGCAAATATTTTATGTCAAAGCGTTCGTGCTATAGGTTACATATAAAATGTTCTTGTTTTTCTTTTCACAATGTTTCTTTCAATAAAAGTACTACAAGGCTTGTCTATTTCTTGATAAATAACCAGATATTAATCATGTGAAACATGACAAAAGACAAGGCTTACATTTAATATTAAGATAAAGAACTATCTATACATAAATACAAGCTATCCATCAAATTATCTTTAGTCAGCGTACCTATTTATTATTAATATAGGAGTATAGCAAGGATAATTATTACATAGATGAAACAAATGTCTTCAATTCAAGATAAAGAAAAAATCAGTTTTCTTCTCAAATATTTTATTACAATATTCTTAACATAATTCTCTTGAGCTCAATCATATTTATTTATACTATAAAATGAATTATTAGACATAAGTTCATGCTGATGCATGTATATATTGATTTGTTATTATAATCTAATAGATCAATATAAGAAATAAATAAATAAATCATTATAGATGACCTCGATCATGATGTGACTTCTATTATCATCGTATTGATATTTCTCAATAATTAAATGATAATCAAATGTTAGTACTTGATCTATATTTTTATATATATATTTACTAATGAACAATTTTCTTTCTTTCTTTCTTTCTTTTTTTTATTACGTCTGTATCATCAAATAAAACATGTTAAAATCAAATGTAATACAATCCTATATACGTATATGCCAATAACAAAAAGAAAAAAAGAAACAAACAGAAAAAGAATACACTTGATACCGAATGCCTTTTCACAAGAGAGGAAAAATGTACAAATGAGAGGATAGGGTGTGAGTATGTGAGTGTATATGAATGTCTGAGTTGACTAGATGAACACGATTGAAACTCTCTGTTTATTTTTATTTTCATACAGTAGTTGTTTTCGACTGAGAAAGAAGTGAAAATGTATTATTCGCAGTCATAGTCGAACTCGTATTATTATCATTATTAGTATTATTGTTCTCGTGTACAGTTGTATTTATTGATGAATTCCACATTGAATCATCATTAACAACAGGTGATTGGTGTTCATCTTCATCAATATCAAATAATTCATCTGTTTCATCAAACATAGGTGCTGGTCGTCGTCCAACAACAAGAGTTAATTCATCTGGTGATGAAGATAATAACGGTACTACTTGATTGCATTCCATACGTGTTACATCTGTATTATTTACCTAAAATAAAAACAAAAACGATATAAATATATATTGAAAAAATGATTTATATTCAATTGATATATTTGACATACTTTATAAATTCTCATACATGGCATTAATGCTCCTTCTAATTCAGCTGGTCCATTTGGCCGTATTTTATTAACATAAACTCCTGTACCATAAAGTCGATCAGATATTGAAAAACCAAAATCAAGTATACGTTTATCACGTTTAAGTATTAAAGTAACTGTATCATATTTTGGTCGATTTGTTGATGTTGTACAATTATCATATTTAGTATCATAATGATTTGAATTATTTCTTAGAGATTTTTCATGTAATATTGATGAAAATTTATGTTCATCTCCATTTATATTATCTCCAATATCTGAATGACGTATTGTTTCAAGTGGACGACCATTTGTTGGTGGTGTTCGATATCCTGATGAAGATGTTGCAATAACCATTGAACGATTTGAATGTATCGTTATTGGTATTGAATGTGTTTGATGAGGTTTGACAACAAAATCACCTTGACCAAAAAGAAAAAGAAAAGAAAAGTATACACAACAAACATAATTAAATTGATTATTTGATCTACACAAAAATTATAACCTTCGATTTGATTGCTTATTTAAAAGATAAGCAAGGTTACATAAAAATCGTTTTGTGTACTTACTTCGTGATAAATGTTGTGTTGATGAATCTTGATAATTTGAATGTTGTTGATGATCATTAACAAGAATTTCTTTTGCTATTTCACAATTATCACTAAAACGATGTTCAGTATTTGAACTATCCCATGATTCCATAGCAGAATCAACAGATGGAGTATATTCTTCTTGATGATGATGACATGAACGAGCTAATTCTATGAAAGAAAGAAAAAAACACACACATTGTTGTTCTTGTTTTGTTTTATTTTTCTTTGAAATACTTTGTTGTGGATTGATTGTTCGAGAAATTTTTAATGTTATTTCATCATTACTTGCTTGTAATAATTTAATTGCTTCATTAAGACCTTTACCACGTAGACTAACATCGTTGATCGCTAATATTCGATCACCAATATGAATAGCATTTGTTCTATTTTAAATTGATTATTCTTTTTTAAATAAAAAGTTTCTCTTGAACTTACTTATCTGCTAGACCACCTTCACATAAATCTGAAACAACAATTGGTTCAAATATATCTTCACTACCGGAAATAGTTAAACCAAGTGGACCGCTAAGAAAATACAGCAAAACATAAAATTTCTTTTTTATTTATTTATTTATTTTACCCTTGTCGAAGTAATTGTACTTTATAAACAACAACATTTTCTGAAAGATTATCTTCAGCATAAATATCATCTTTTTTTATTTTTAATCGTACAATATCATCACAATTTTTTAATAATGTAACAATTTCATTTAAACTTTTTCCACGTAATGAATGAGAATCAATTGATAATAAACGATCACCTGATTGAATCATTCCACAACGATAAGCAATACTACCACGTTTAACATCATTTATTATTGGAACTTCATCAGCTCGTGCTGAACGTGAATCTTATAGTAATATTAATTTATGAGATAAAAATATGAAATAAATCAATACATACAAGTTACAGAAAGGCCAAGATCAAGATTTTTTCGTAAAATTTTTACTTGACATGTACCTGAGGAGAGCATAACAGAATCTAATGAAAAAAACAGCAAAAAATATAATATGAATAAAGAAAAACAAGCAAGAAAAAAACAATGTTTACCAGCAACATCAAATTCAATTTCAAGATGAATACGATTATTTGAATCTTTTATTATTGATCGAGCATCTTCTAATGTCATACCTTCTAATTGTTGACCATTTATACTAAGAATACGATCGCCTGGTTGTAGTACACCCGATCTAAATCAAACAAAAAATAAATGCAAAATTTTTACTTTAAAATCAAAATTTCATTCGAAGTTCTCTGACATAGTCTTGAAGTTTAACTGTTTTGTTATGTTTATATAAACAAATATTAGATAACAACATAGCATCTTTCATTCTAATACATTTTTCTTTCATAAAAATGGTCATTCAATATTTCATTTAAAATATTTTATATATATTCATTATTATGAATATAATAGAACACTTAAGGAATTCTTCATCTTCCAATGCATATCTTTTCTTTCATATATCTACAATACCTTTCAGCTACGCCGCCCGGTTCTAAATATCCAATGACAGGTGGTTGCATTAATATATCCGATGCAAAAGAAGCGCCCTGTAGTGTAAAACCAAAATTGCCGATTGTGTCACTACCATCGGTAATAGTTCCATTTGATGATGATGATGAATCAAGTTGAAGTACGCATTCCATTGTTTCTGTATGACACATTTGATTACCCATTATAGTTTGATAACAAGAATTCAATGAACCTATTGAACAAAAAAAAAAGAACAGAAATCAATTTAACATGAATTTTTTTTGTATTCTTATGTCTACATGTAGAAGATTAATAAAGAATGAACAAAAAAAAACCAATAAAAATTGACAAGAAATTGGACTTGGTTGGCGATAAGCAGGCAAATGCATGGCTAAACAAGATTTTCTTATTCGAAGCTAGGCAAAAAAAAAATTTATTGCATGGCAATGCAGATGAAATAGCAAAACAAATGGATGTATGAGCTGATTATTGTTATTATGAATAATAATAATAATAATAATAATAATAATAATAATAGAATAATGGTCACAACAAAGGCAAAAGAAAAAGAAATTTTGATAGTTTAATTGATTTGTTTGTTTGGTCGAATTCAATATTTTTTATTAATTTACCTAACTCACGAAGATTATACATTTTCATTATCGATGCAGAAGTCGTATTGTTTGTAGAAGAGGATAATTTATCCAATGATTTAAGACCTACACAGATTGACGATAGGAATGTTTTTTTTTTTATTTTTAAATCTTTTTATACATGAAATTCAATTCTTTCTTTTCTCTTTTTTTTTTGTTTTGAAAAAAGAATAAATAATAAATGAAAATCTTTTTTTTTTACTTACTGATTGAATTATGTCGTGTTTTATTAATTGGTTTTTTTGTTATATTTTGACAATTATTTCTCGCTATCCAATTTGTATTATTAATTGATATTGGATTAATTGATTGCGTACGATAAAATGCTTGACGTGTTGTTTCATTTAATAAAGTTCGATTTGCTGATGGTTGAATTCGTATTTCATTTGATTGTTCAAGAATTATATTTGATGGTGTAACTTCGATACGACAAAAATCGCCTGTACATGAACGTAGAATTGTATTAGCATCAAATAATGATATTCCATCAAATGATTTTTGATCAATTGCATTTATTTGATCACCACAATGAAGTGCTCCACAACTAGATTTTTATATGAATTAAATAAAAGAAAGACAAAATATATATATATATATGCTGTTCTTTTTTTTTTCTAAATAAAATCTTACCGATCAGCAATACTTGCTGGTTTAACATTATCAATAACAATAATTGAACGATTATTTCGTATCCATTTTTGTGTTAAACTTATACCAATTGTTGAACCAGGCGATTTTTCAATTTCAATTAATAATGGACCAGTTGCATGTTTAACACTGTCTAAAAAATTTGCCATTAGTCATTTGATTTCAATCTTTTTTACTTAGATCAATACCAATAAAACTCAATCAAAAAAAAAAAAAAAAAAAAAGAAACTTCATCTTACCAACAATAGCTACATCATATTCAATAAGAAATAATGTTGTACCTCGACATTGTCTCATTAGGTTATATGCATCTTGTAATGTAGCTCCACCAACATTAATACCATTTATAGCTAGAACTCGATCACCAATTTTAATTGTTCCTTCTCTATATATAGATTATGTATATTGTTATGAGTATATTTTATTTATTATATATTAAATTCTTACTTATCGGCTGGTCCTTGCGGACGTATCTTTGTAATAATAAGTGGTCTTGCTTTAACCTTGTCATCGGAACCTCCACCACGTAAAATAAAACCATAACTTTGTCCTTCTTTTTCCAATTGAATTTGAATCGTTTTTGTATGTACTGTATTAATTGCATGTATGGCTAATATATAATTATATTCAAATAAGATTTTATATAATGGAGCAAAGAAAAGAAAAAAGAAAAAAGAAATATTGATTATACATACGCCATTTAGGTAAATCATATTCAATATCTAAGGTTAATTGATCTCCAACTTGTTTGATTAAATCTATAACTTGTTCGTGTTTAAGGCCAGCTGTTTTAATACCATTAATGCCAAGTAGAACATCACCAATTTCTAATACATCTGCTTTTTGTGCTAATGAGCCTGGCTTAAGTTGAGCTACTCTTGGTTTACTATCTTTATCAATACCACCTGATATTGTTAAACCAAGTGGACAACCTTCTTTTTTAATTAATTCAACTGTTGTTCGACCTCGAATTGCTGAAAAATCATAAGAACATAATAATATGAAGATATATATGATGAAATAAAATTAAAAACAAAGTTTTGTTCTTTTGTTTTCTTTTTACAATGCATACCACGTGAAGCAGGTAATGGACTAGGTGCAGCCCATTTACACATTGCTATAGCGCGTTTAAGATCCCGTGATAAACTATTACTTGCATTGCTCATCCCTGTTGTTTTGTAAATAAAAATGTGTATATAGGTACAATACAGCAAATGATTGTAGGCAGGCTCAATTCACGATTGCAAGACAAAGAAAAGAACAAGTGTCACTTCACTCTTCCCTCTCTTGTCTTTCTGCATTGGCATCAAATGTTTTCTTTTACTCTCCCGTTTTTCTCTTGCTCTTTCTCTCTCTCCCTCCCTCTCTCTCTCTCTTTCTCTCTTTTTCTTGCCTTTGAACTCTCTCATTGCATACGTATACTACTGTGTTCGATAATATACTCCTTCCGTAGAAGCATATTGCATGCGCTACGCCATGCCAATACTATTGCAGTTCTACACTACATCTCATGATCAAGTATTACCATGATCATCGTCAGCAACCGTATATAGACTAAAATATGTTTGCACATATGCACCGGCACGCAAACACAGATTGAAGAGGAAAACGCGTTGATCTTTCGACTATGTTACATATACATACACATAAATGCGCACACAAAAACAGAATCATCATATCATACAATGAAGTGGTCCGACTCGAGAAGCAAAAAGCAATAATATTACCAAAATTGCATGATGTTTTCTTTTCTTTTACTACTTAGATAGTTTCTGACAATATACTAATTAATATCATGACAATATTACGGATATAAATATTATTTATATTCTTTCTATACTATTTTCTATGTTCATTATTATCATTATCCTTGTCAAATTTTTCTTTTTTTTTTACTTAGAACAGATTGACTTTTTCACATATATGTAAAATAAATCTGTTATTTTTTAATTTCGATTTAAATATAAGTATTCAATGGAAAATTTGTTCAAGAAATTATTTCTAAAACCTTAAAAATTGTTACTTTATCATAAATACACTTGAAATTTTCAAGTCTGTTTAAATAAATCGAAAGAAGAAAAGGTTTCAAAATCAATATATGAATTGAATATATTACGATAGCATAGAGAAAAGATATGCAAAATGTCATATGTATATACCTTACAATCAAAGTTCTAAGCTCTTATTTCTCGGTTGTCTATCTTAGTCTATTTACTTAAGGATTTATATCGTATATATGAAACTTCTTTATTGACTTGCCGATACTTGAACAATACCAATCGACTCACTTTCTTGGATAGAATCTGTTTTGCCTGTTATTCTCCAATCAGCCTTCTTTTTTGATTTTTTCGTCGATGACGATTTTCGTGTTGAACCACATAACATATTCAAATTGAGTACCATTTACCAGTTGTAGTTGATATATGATATGACAATAATGATAATGAATGAAGAAAAAATGTTCATGTCTTTTACTACTTATGCTTGATGCTGATCGATTGATCGATATCAATATTCATTGAGCGCAACGATGAGAGAAGAGTAAGAGTGAGAACAAGAAGAAAAAAGAAGAAGAACAAGAAGGCGGAGTAAAGGTCATTGTCAACACAATCTCCGCCTATAGCATGTAGAGGTATGAATGAATGAATAAAAAACCGAAAAAAAAGAAAAAGTGTAAGAAGTGAAGAAGAAAGAAGCCGAGTTGTGTACGTGTGTGTGTCTGTATGCGCTTCTTTTCTCTCAATATGAGAGTCCTTCGACAATCGTGATCGATCGACGAAACAATAATTAAACCATCGATTGCATCTTGTTTCTGTAACTAATTGGGATGAACAACAACATCGATGTACGTTGTTGTTAATCACAATGACAAACTTTTTTTGGACGAAAAAAAAAAGGAATATTTTATCGTCAATCGTTGATTACAAAAAGCAACAGAAACTATAACAAATGTTTATTTCTCTTTTTTCTTCTTCTGCTATTATTTCAATCTATACATAGAGAAGACATATACAATCGTTTTGAAACCACCCGCAGACAAGACAACAGGAAACAGAAGAATTGTATGTCTCTAGGCAAAAACCATGCTATGTATAAAAGAAAATGTTAGATGGTATTGATGTTGTCTTTTTCCGTATCCATGAATACTTAAGATGAATCATTCTAGCAAGTACTTTGCAATAGAACATTCGGCTATTAATGACAGGAGGAAGAAAAAACCTAATCGTGGAAACAAAAAAAAACTGTTTTTCTTTCGTATGCTTGTTGCATAGGATCTATTTTACAGAATGATATGATAGAGATAATAACTATTGACACTTGTCTTCTATTGTAAACAACTTCAATAATAAACAATCTTGTCGATGAAATATTATATGTAAAAGATGCTAATCATTTTCTAAGACCTTAAAAGTACTTGATTGTATCTGTTTACTATATATCCATTTGATGGATTATCTAATCTGTTCAATTCAATCGCATATCTTTTCTGTTTTTTTTTCTCCTTTGTTTCATCTTGTTCTCAATCTAAGACGTACATATTTATTATGAAATAAACGTCGCCCTTTTTTTTCTATACTCCTACTGCATACATATAAATAATTCAACATGTAACCAACGTCGAAAAAATGACTGAATTTAAAAAAAACAAATTCGTGGCTTTATTCTTCATATGTATATAGTAAAACATGCAAATGTATGCATCGCTTTTTAAAAAGAAAATATTTTACGCATAGCTTTTCGACATTTCTTTTTAATATGTGAAATAGTCTTATGAAGATAAAGAGAAAAGAAAATGTAAACAATAAGTCACTTGAATTCTCTAACTCACCAAAATCACCAAGAGAAGTAGAAATCGTATTTTTACCAATATTACCAGCGGCTGTAGTACGTCGTCTATGTTGGTTATTCGAAGAAGCACATGTACGTAGCCATAGTAGTGGTAATGAACGATATTTAGCCAAACGATGTTCCAATGGAGATGAACGAGAAGAATTATTGTTTGTCGTAGAAGTAGTAATTGGTGTCACTGTAGCAAATGATGGTGATGGCTCAAGTGAAGCTAAACGATGGCTCCAACTCATTGCTTAATTACTTTTCTATTAGATAATCTAAGTAATAAGTATGGTTTATAAACATATTGCACAGATGAAGATCATGTAAAACAGAAATTATGACTATGAATAAATATATTTATATATATATATATAAGAAACTGCTTCTAGGCACTAACACCATTCGGCGTGTCGTGTCGTATCTAGTTGAAGGTTATCACTGTTAGTAGCATAGCACAACTGCTGACACATGTGCCGACTTCATCATCATCATCATACTCATCGTCATCACCACATCACATCACAATTATGATGTGAGATCAAGTCGTAAGAAGATGTAAAGAATGTAAAAAAGCCTGACTGTATGAATGCACGTCTCTCATTTTATTCTGTCTATCTCCTACTGAATTCGTACGGCATGTACAAACATACGTAAAAAGAAAAAGAAGAAGTAGTAGTAGTAGAAGAAAAAACAACAACACATCACACTCATAGACGAGTAGTGAGTGTAAGACAAAAAACGAAGAGTACATGAATGAAAATAAATCACTCACTACTACTACCATACCATGGAGGCGACATAAACCATGAAAAAATGACGACATATAGAGAAGAGGAGAGAATAGAGAAGTGTGCGTCTCATTTTCATCCTTGCTTTTTCTTCTCATACCATAAAGGGAATGATAAAAGCAAGGTGCCAATGGGCCGCTAACCAGACTAATTGAACATCAATCATTTTAGACATTATCGATTGTTAGACAAATTTGTTCTACACAAACGCATTTACATATTGAAATATAACCTTCGATTTCTCTTATCTACTTTCCCCAATGCATCCATCTCGTTGTTGATTATCATCACACGAGAGATATATGCTTGTGTATGCCGTTTTTTCCTCTTTTTTGTTTCTTTCAAATAAAAAAAAACAATAATATTAACAAAAATAGCGAATATCTATATCAGCTGTTGCCAGCCCAGCTATCGGTTTCTTTTTTGTCTGTATAACCATTGATGTTATCACATCATCAATATTCTTCTTTTAGATGATAATCAAGATTAACATACAAAAAAACAAGAAAAAAACCTATAATAATCCAACTAAACTTACGAATAGGTGAATGTTGATAATATCGTTGTTTTTGTTCACGACGAATTATAGATGATGGAGTTGAAGGTAAACTATGAGTATCAAAAGTCGTTACAGCTATTGGAATATCTTAGAAAGTAGAAATAATATAAACAAATTATTTTACAATTAATTATTCAATCAATAAATTTTTCCTTTGGGAATAAAAAATGACAGTCACTTATTTGCACTTATTACTTTCATGAATATAAATTGACAAGAACGATACAGTGGAAAAAAAAAGATGGTAATGATAACGTTACTCAACAGTGTTATTCGGTAAGATTTGAACTAGAACGATGATCGATTAAGCTATCTATTAATATTTCTAGCAGTACGATAAGCCTTATGGTAGATATACAAAAGAAGGAGGTCGCTTGTTCTATCTTTCTTTTTTTTATTTAAACGTTATTGCTATATCTAATATTATCTGTCAACAAAAAATTAACACTTGGAAAATTGCTAAAACAGATGCCTTGAATGATTTTAAATAATTAGTAATCAATTTTCAATATATACAACAAGAAACAAAAATTTAAAAAAAATAAAAATCTACCTGAATTTTGATGATCAATAGATGACGGTATATATCCAATTTTATTTGTTTCATCTATTGTTGTTGATGATAATATTGATGGATTTGTACCATCTTCACTTTTTAAACAATTTATTTTCCAAACAGGCATTAAAAATTAAGTTAAAATTCTTCTATAATTGATTAATATAAAGAGAAAAAAGTCGTTGTTTTTTTTTTATATCGCGTATCTTCTATTTGACAAATGACACAATCGACGAACTATTACCACCATGCGACAACACAAACCATAGTAGTTACAGTGTGCGATGTTGATATAGAAAGAAGTAAAACGAGAAGTTGTGATGATGACAGCGTCGTAGTATGGTCTAATGTATACATATCTTGCTGTGTTATTCGCGTGCGTATGTGCAAAAAAGGCCAGTTGATGTCGCGTCAATGTTTGATGGATAGAAAGGAGTTATAGCAAGCTTATATATATGTATATACACGAAATGTATGTACAACAATTTGATGTTGTCTACAAAGCTTATATATATGTACGTATTGTGTGTCGAAATATCAAACCAATATTCACATACAATAGTTTGATATATGCATATATATGTATATGGATCTCTTCGTCTTCTTCTTTTTTTGCAAATAAAACACCACTACGACAACGAGCAATAATCAAATGAATTAAAAATTGACGATGATGCAAAGAAGGAAGAAGAAGAAAAAAGAGAAGAAAAAAGCTCGAGAAAAAAGAGAATCGTATGATTGTCAGCGTGCTGATCAAAGCAGTAATGAGAACAGCGGAAGTCGTTTTAGATTAACATTAAGAAGGCGACATAAAGTTCTTTTTTTTTGGATGATGTTTAATTTAAATCAAAAGAATACAGTTTGTTTGACTGATTTATTTCGTTCAATTTATCGACATATCTTTAAAAAGAAAGCATAATTCTCTATTGATGTGACCGACAACACTTTCACTTGATATCGATGATATTGAATCAGGATATAAAGCATTAATAAAAAGAAATGTACCTTTTCTTCTTCAAGATCAATTCTAGGGATTTTTATACGTTCAAGTGTTTTTTTGTTTGATGGACAAAGCAAAAAATTGGTTTTGAAATTTTATGATGAATTTTATTCGTTTAAAATTACATAAGCAATAAATTTTCAAACGTGATTATGAAACCTTAAGAGTTATCATTTTGATTTATTCTAGATTTTGATTTAAACTATTTGACGTAAGAAAAAAGAAAAATGACTTTTGATATTATCAAAGTCAAAGTTTCGTTCATATAACAAGATGACTTAATAAATGAGTACTTTTCTGGAAGAAAACTTTTTGTATATATTTGTCATATGTTAATCAAATGAATAATTTCGAAAAAAAAACGCATAAATATATTTATTTATTTAATCACAGATAAACAGTAGAAAATATTCTTTTTTTAAACGACCGCTTTAGACAAATTTTGTTTGATCATAAATTTCTACCGTAGGGTACATATCTTATTAAATGATATAACCTGAAAGTTATTGTCATCAACAGCTGAAGTAATTAAGTGAAGTATTTAGAATATATTTTGTTTGTTTTCATAACTACGTAGTCAAGGATTGTAAGTTTATACTCATGTCAAAAGTAATGCTTCTAGATAATATTTGTCATCTATGGGAATGTATTTTATTAATCATAAGAAAAATATAGTACATTTATATTTAGTCAAAATACGACGAAGATACTGAAACATGTCTTCTTGATAATCTAAATTTTGGACTATTCGTCTATGTCAATAAAGAAGCATGTTATTTGTGTATGATCAAATAAATCTAATAAAAAAAATTATTCATATATTTAGATTAATTTGAGATTTGACTGTTTAAATTATCATTTGAGATTCTCTTTGCATTAAAACTGAATTATTTAATTAGAAAATAAATACAAGTAAGACAAAAAATATATAAAACTCATATTCGAATTGTCTCTAAACAATATGAGGAGAAATAAAACTATTCTTCTATGTTTGAAAAATAGATCTAAACCATCGAATTAAATTATTAGGTTATGATTTAAAATAGAGAATATCAACAAATTTAACTTTTCTTTATAAATGTTTGCATTCAATATAATTAGTTTGGGTCTTGTTTCATCGAAAAACTAAGATAAAACAATTCATTTTCTTGTATTGTCATTGTGTCAACAGCAAATATATAACATTTTCATAGAGATGTAAAAATAGAAACGAGAATATAACTCATTAGTATATCATGGTATTATTCATAGATTTCGAGAAAGACCTTTTTTTTATTCTATTTCATGAAGGATTTGTTCTTGCTGTTATCAAGTTGTTTAACCGCAGCCATATTAAATGCATAATATTTTTGTTAATTCATTAATAACTGTATATGAATTTGGATTAGAGGTAGCAGTATTTGCATTAAATCAATGGTGTCTGCCCTTCAATCTATTGTTTATTCTAGAACCATTCAAAATTGTAATAATTTCATAAGTATCTTGGACATAAACACTCGTCATCATTCTAAATTTTGTGTGTAGAAGTCGAAAAAACCTTACGAGTGTTTTATATGATTGAACTTGTCCAGAATTTATTAATGTCAGAATAAGACATATATGTTAAAACTTCAATTTCTTGCATTAAACACTTCACACATTTGAATTATCTTCTGAAGAATCATAATAATCTTTTTTTGTAAATCTAATTCTTAAACTTTTGTAAATATACCACATTAGTAGTAATGAAAATTATAATCTTTAGTAGTTGCATTGGAAAAATATTTTTCAAAGCACAAGTAATTCGATAGTGTCATCAGTTTTGCTTATTTATTTCTTTAGGAAAAAATTTTTTCCCGTAAAATTCTGATATTATTTAGAAAAAAACCTGTGTCGTCTAAATAGGTTAGAAAGGTATTAATGAAGGGAGACGATACCTTACAATTATACTATTCGATGACGTACTGATGGTTATAGGTCATGAATAAGAAAAGAAAAGTGCACGTTTTGATTTGTTAATTATTTATAACTACCATAAATATATAAAAAGAAAAAAAAATACCTGCGTATATGTATTCTACAAAACAACAAGTATATTTTTTGTAACGAAAAAAGAAAAGTATGTATGTAAAAAACTAATGCCTTTAGCTGATCTTGATATTGTACGTCGTCGATTTTCAATTGGATTACCAGCAGATAGAGTTGATTTTATTCTTTATCTATATAATGAATATTCATTTGAAGAAAAACATTTTCAATCAGTTTATGAACTTCTTGATTTATTAATAAATCAAATTGAAAATGATAAAAAATTTAAAGATAAATATTATTGGATTGAAGTTATTAATTGTAGTTGTGTTGATTTTCCAAATAATATTAAAATTCTTTGTGAATACTTTAATCTTCATCCATTAACAATGGAAGATATAGCAACATTAACACCATATATGAAATTAAATTTATTTCATGATAATGCTTCATTATATCTTTTAATGAAAGTTTTAACATGGAATGGTCATCATGTTCAACAACAACAAATATCATTTTATTTAAAATGTTCACAAAATTTATTAATTACATTTCAAGAAAAGTCTTTTGATAATATTGAACCTTTGTTTCAAACAATTCGTGATCGTCTTCAACGGCAACCACAACAGCAAGATAATGAGGAAAATGCTCAGTACCATCAACATCATCATTTAAGATATCTCAATGTTGATTATCTTTTTTATTGTCTACTTGATGATATTATTGACAGGTATTCACAAAAATTTTTAAATTTTGAAGTTCAAAATGTTTTATCATAATTAAGATGATTTTTATTCAATTAGATATTATATATTTGAAAGCTAATCTAATGAAACATTTAGATACAATCGAGATAATACATATAAAATGAAGTAGATTCAATATATAGTATTTCATGTCTCTATGTGTTTTGACTGGAGATTTATGGTGTCAATTTAACCATAATAAATGAATAGAAACTGAAAATTTTATACTGTTAAAGTACCGATGATTATTTTCATATATTAACACAGAGACTTTGTTTAAGCCCCCCCCCCCCCCCCCTCCAAAAAAAAGTCACTTTTCGTCAGAATCATAGAAATTGAGATAAATACATGGGAAGATAGCCCGTGATCTGCTCTTTCATAACTGATAAAAAGTTTACCTTGATACCTCCTTTTTGTCCAAAATTTTTTCGAAGATTTTCGTCACCCCCTATCCGAAAAACCATCTGTTTTTTGAAAAATCAAAAAATGTTTTCCGTTTTTTCTCAGTTTCCACTTTCTCAAAAGCGCATCCCAAATTTCTCCTTCCTGGTTCATTCAATGTATTAATATTTTTTGTTTGTTTGAAAGAGCATCTTAAGGCGCAGGGCATGATGAGGCCCTTTTTTTTTTTAATTAAACCTTTGTTTGGTCAATATACATCCAGTTATATGATTTGGTTACCATTTTTGGACACTTTTTTCAGCCGTTGAACTTGTGATCTCTTTTTTGCGCTTAAAAGAGGATTATTTCAAAAAAAGGGTCCCATCATGCCCTGCATCTTGAGATGCTCTTTCCAACAAAAGAAAAATATTAATATATTGAACGAACCAGGACCGAGAAATTTGGAATGCCAAATGAGTCATTTTTGACCCTTGTTTGGCTCATACCTCTCTGAGATCTGACCATTTCAGGCTGAAAATTTTATGGTAGTCTCCCCTTTCTAGTCCCAACATATCCCGAAAGTTTCATCTAATTTGGATGTTCCTGGGCTGAGATCGATTTTTGAGGGGGGACCTTAATGACCCTGTATCAAGTCAGTTGACAACGTAAACTGGACGTGCCCTTTACTAGCACCTTGTAGTAAAATAGATTTTTTTTCCGGATTGAATTTCCATTGTGTTTGAATTGTATCCTAATATTTGAAATCAGTATCAAATTCTGAATCGGACGACGTGTAATTTAGTAAATTTAGAAAAATAAACTGTACCACGGTGTCGGGATCTTCGACACGTTCAAAATAAAAACAAATGAAAAATGAAAGTTATTTTTCGACAGAAAAAAAAATACTTCGGTTTACTCAGAATTTCGCGGTGATTCAGAAATGATCGATATCGTGGACAACCCAAAGGATGCTATCGACACTTTTTCTTGAAC